TTTCTGAAAAGCCTCTTGTTACTTCTGGAAAAGTTTTGTCTGAGAATTTCACTGACATGTTTGTACGTTTTATTGTCTTCAATGAGATTCCCTCAGTTACAGTAACATTGCTTTCCATATATTCCGCCATATTTGTCTCTTGACTAGTAGGTCAGTCAATTCAAGCAAAACAAATGGCGCCAAACGGTCGACATCTGTCAATCAATAGGATTTGAAACGGCTTTCAAATATGGTTTGAAAACGCCATTTATTTTTAAGGTTCCCTTTTCGCACTTATGAGAACATCGCTTCCAACCGCAAAAAAGGTACCTTTTTTGCTCTTTTGATAGGAACGTTTCTGAACCGCAAAAAAGGTACCTTTTTCGCGCTTTTGAAGAGATCGCTTCAAACTGAAAAAAGGTACCTTTTTCGCGCTTTAAAGTTTTGTTTGGTAAAGTGAGAAATGGATGAAAAGGGGGCAATATTGACGTTAAAATATTTTCACCCGAAAGCTTAAAATACCCGCCTTTTTTTTCTAAAAAGGTACCTTTTTTAACTTTTCACCTGATCGACTAGCATTAACAAAAAAGGGAACAATTTTGCATGTTGTTCTATAAAAAATAAATGCAGAAAGTTAATTTTTCTGCTCTTTTCAAGTAGCAGAGTTGATCTTTTTGTAAAAAAGCAGAATTGCCGGAACCTTTCACTGATTATTACCGCCATTACCTGAACCATGTGTCACCATGCAGGAACCATGCACAAGGTTGCCTGACGTCATTTCCGTCACGCTGTCTATACTAGAATACATGTATACCGTATGAGTCGGTTAACGAGGAAGTCTCTTCCGGAAACCTCGGAAGTGAAACGTTAGCCGACAAAACACCAGCACATTGACCAAGGCCGACCGAAAATTGATGATCCGATCCACGATCCGAACTTCTAGACTGACAGAATTCAGAAACCGGGCCAAAACTTTCAGCTGATCCGCGATCCACGGAATTTTTCAAATCCGCGAATCCGCTCGATTTATCGCCGAAATCCACAATCCGTGAGCTTTTTAAGGCCAAATCCGCCGATCCGCGGACCTATTCACCCCCCTCCTTATATAAGTTGCCAGTGTTTAGCACAAGTAGAAGAGAGAGAGAGAAGAGAGAGAGTGCTTGAGATTAGTTACAGCTGGTTGCCCAGCAGAGTTCATTAAGTGATGCTGTAAATAAGACATATGAGCTGCTGTAAAGATTAAAGAACAACAAGATGTAAACTCAGATACCTGGTACCTCTACGCTCAGCGAGCGAGTTGCTCGTAAACCCCCTACAAAAAGATGTTTTGACGAGCGACTTCACAGGCTTTTTTTTACCTTTATTTGTAGAGTAGAACCCCGATATGGCGAACTTGAACGACTCGAACTCCCCGCTAACCAGAACTAAGTCCAATTTCCCTTGGAATTAATCCCTGACTTTTCATTCATTTTACTCGGTTAACTCGAACTCGGATACTCGAATTCCCCGCAGACTCAAAATTAAATTTGACCAAAAACTAAATCTCCTTTCCTTTTCTTGACTCAAAAATTCACCTAAATTTACCCCGATAACTCGAATTCTTCTTGTAACTCCACTCTCATGCCATCCCATTAGTTCTTCTTGTTGTATAATGGTAAAAACACTAAAAAAAAAAGACTAGTCAACACTACAGCAATTTGAATTTAATTGGTGCAAAGAACAGATCAGGTTTTATCACTAAAATGGTTAATCATTTTATTACGGTTTCTGATGAAATAAGTTAGATTAGTATATACACACTCAGTGATCTTGGTGATTTAAGCAATCTGATTGGTTCGCTATCTCGGACTATTCAACAATATTCACCTCCTAGCGAGTGGATAATGTGTGAGCTCGGTGTTTTTAGCATTTTTTTAGAGAACCATCTTTTAAAAGTCGACAAAATCCTAGCGCTGACCTTTTTTTAAGGCAAGAAAAGACTTGGAAGGATACAATACGGCGTTTTTCAATTTACTGTGGCTGAGTTTTGTGCTCGATGGATTGTTTACAACTCCCGTGTATTCGTATAGAAGAAGCCGTTTCGTGAACTCAGCGTTTTCTAACAAGAAAATTTTGGCTCAAAAATAGAAGCTTATTTATGACAAACAAATTTAAAAGGAAATGTTTGCAGAAATTCAACGTTTCAAGTAAACAGGAAAAAGAATGATACAGGAAGACGACGTCTTACCTCGAGCAACCGAGCCGGCCATTTTTGTCAGCACTTCATGCGAAGAACAACACAACAAGCCCTTTTGGCTATAAACTTGGCGAGTCAACAGAAAACAACAAAGCTCCACTTTTCTTCTCAGGTAAGGAAACAGTTCAAACTTTTAGCGGTTCCATTTGAGCCATTACGCTGCTGTTTGCGAAATGATAAACTTGTGAATTGCCATGTTTGAAAATTCTGCACAGATCTATTTTTAAACTTACGCGTGATTTGATCTGTCACTCAAATCGTACTTTTGAATGGTTTCCTCTCTGATTTTGTTGAGATCACTTCGTGTGTATATACTAAAACAATTATTCTTTTCAATCTCGGTGAATAGTGGCTTTGGGAATATTTACCTCGCCGCTTTCGCGGCTCGGTAAATATTTTGCCACTATTCACCTCGATTTCAAAGAATAATTGTTAATTGTACTGGACTATATACACTGATCATGAAGTAATCAGTAACTATCAATTTTAACATGGCATATTGAATTTTGCAATCTCGGACCCCGATAACTCGAATCCTCGCTAACTCAGTCCAGCTGTAACTTGAACTGTTTTTGGTTTCCCTTCCAAGTTCGAGTTTAATACTGGGGGTCTACTGTATTTGAAACCGCGTGAGAAGTCTTTCTTTTTGAGACGGTGCATGGGTTGCGTGATCATGAGATAATATTCAGAGATCAAATATATCAGACATCACGTTCAACGACCGTTCTTTTCCCTCTAGCGTTACGATAAAGATTGACCCTTGATTTGAGTTTAGTGAAGTCAGGTGAAGTACAGGTTATATACCCCTAAATAAAAGAACCGACACATTTGCGGCACAATAGGTCTGCAAGTATTTAAGAGTCTTATTTGTTTCTTTCATTTGGGACTACCGAGTCTACCATTTCCTAACAGCCTCGTAAAGTGGTAAAGCTTACCGTAGAAATGATTCACTTTCCTCAAACAATCGCTTAATTTGAGCTCGAGGCTGGAAGTCGTCCAGCTCACGGCCATCGGTGGGGGTTTGCACTCCAACATTACAACATTGCATTTCTCTCTTTCTATTCCTCGTACATCCTTGCCCATTTTCAAGTTTTTCACCGTACAATCACACGCCACGCAATTAACTACTTTGTGCGGAGATGAACGCGGTTGTATATGAGTAACACTTCCAGTTTGTTATTTTCACTTCCGGTTATTTTTGTCTTGGATAGGTAGGGGGGAGGGTCAGATGTTTTTGTTCGAGTATTTCTGCTGAAGGGTCATGCATTAATCCATTCCAGGAAGTGGGAGGGCCACGACTTTTTTCGCAAGAAGTAGCGATCCCAACTTAGTCACTTTCTATTTATGTATCTACCTTATCAATCCTTTAAATAGGTCATCATAAAATAAATTGACTCATTTTTTAATTGAATGTAGAAGAAGAACATTATATTTTTCACCTACAGTATGAACATTCTGGTTCGTTCGAAACGTTTCCTAACCGCAAATGTGAAGAACCTTCTTACTCCAAAAATCCCAAAATGTGCGGCCCCATTCTAGTAACTCCATTGAAATAGTCAATCCAGTGGTAGACTGCAAAACAGTCGGTTTTTTTCTCAAAATCATTAAAGAAATCGGTAAAGCGTGGCGTAAGAGTCTTACGCGCGCGAAGCGCGCGAGCCTCACACGCCCTACGGGCGTGTGAGGCGAGAGAAAAAAAATTTTCAGCATCATTCCAGACCTTTTGTTTGACTGCTCGCGCGTACTTGAATACGCAAAAATACGGACTGTTTTGCAGTCTAATCCAGTGGTGAAAATGCGACCACGTCCAGCGGCACATCCCCATCAGCCTCTTGTAAGGAAGTACCCCCCCGGTTTTTTTCCTTTTTATTTGGAGTAGGGTACGAGACTGCGAGACCCTGGTTTCAAAATTCGAGACCGAGACACAAAATCCCCAAATCGCCCGAGAAACCAAATTTTGAGACCCATAAAAAACACGGTTCCGAGATTTCGAGATTGGGCCAAAACTTTCCGATAGAACGATACCCACAGGTTTTCGAGGAAGCATCAGTACTTATCAGCACACCCCTTCTTCCGGCTTGAGTTGTTATTAGGTAAAGAGGAAGAGAATAAACAAAAGGGAAAACAGGTTTTACTAATGTGTTTATTTAAGTCTCTTCTTCCCTATCAAGGAAGGCCAAGTACTCAGGCTTACCACACCATTGTGGAACCCAAGATATTTACTCAACTTTATTAGCACATTTGGTATTCGAGTCACGTCCACCGCGTCTGTCTACGTGTTGCCTCTCCAACCAAACAAACAGGACATTTAAACTAAGTTCCGTCATTTTGTTAAAAAACTTCATTACAACAACGCCGTCTCCTGAGGAACGCATTCCTAAAACGTGAAAAATCAGATGAAAAACCGAACACTCAACTTTAAAACGTTTACAGTTCTCATTGCATGTACATTATTTTGTTTCCTCAAATTAAGGGGGGAGGGAGGGGTAAAGTAGACTCTTCACACCCATCCCATCAGGGAGAAAGGATAGGGATGATTCCGCCCTGAATTACTCATAATTTTGCCTTTTGACTACATGGTGCTTCAAGACCATCGAAAAGAGAAATAATTCGAAAAACAAAACAAAAAAATTAGGACCAAAAAAAAAAAAATGGAATTCTTGAGAAAAAATAATTCAACAAAAGAGTAACCAAAACTCTCCCCAGTGTGGCCCGATCAGTGACAACAACTTTATTGTCGGTGATGATGGTCATGCAACCAAACAGGAAGTCTACAATGTGAAAAATGGCGGAGGCAAAGACAGGTTATCGGAGTTTCATTCTGTGGACAATATGTTGTATTGGGAATGGGATTTCTACCAAAGACATCTACACAAATGTGTGGGCAGTCAAAGCACGCGGCAGTGTACAGGACGTGAGGTTGTTGGCTCTCAAACATGGTTTCTTGTACGACAAATATGTAAGGAAGCTTATTGCTTAAGTTGTCTTCATCAATTCAAGCTAAAATTTTGAACGCCGATTACGCGGGTAGCGTTTATTTAATTGAATTAAGCATTTAAACTATGGCTTGCCCCTGAGCTGCAATTTTTTGTCTGTGAAATACCATCTTGTAGCTCAAAACAAATAAGCGACCGTCGCTATCGTACCCGTGCAGATAGGTTTCTTTCCGGCATGGCCAAAGCTTTATTAAGATGTCAGATCGTACGTTGTAGTTGGCTCGGGCGATTTAGTGAATGCTAAAACCATACCGAAAAGAAACCTCTGTTAGCAGTATATCGCTGATCTGCGTTTTATGTAACGCTGTGGCTATATGGCCGGTAACCGGTCAAGGCTTTCAAAATACTAAATGGCCGGCAGTTCTATATTCTTAGTAAATTTCACAAAATCGAAAGATTCCAGCTAATCTAAACTATCATATGTCGATTTAGAAAAGTCAAGCGACCCTGAAATGCTTTACAGATCTCAAGTCTATTGTTTGGTTTGCGCTGGGCTCAGAGGAGGAAATCATGTTTAGTGACACTTAAACATTTTTGCAGCTCGACTGCCGGTCAAGGTTTTCAAAACACTAAATGGCCGGCAGTTCTATATTCTCAGTAAATTTCACAAAATCGAAAGATTCCAGCTAATGTAAACTATCATACGTCGATTTAGAAAAGTCAAGCGATCCTGAAATGCCATATAGCCACAGCGTTTATGTAAAACCGCTCGATAACATCGATCATTATTATTATTCTTCCTCATGATTTGAGACGTGACGTTGATGTTGAGTTTAAACTTGCTGTTTACATTAAAAGCTGGCTAAACCTCTCAGGACGGAAAATTTTGTTCATGGGGCTCATTTCATAGGAATAAATAACCTGCAAAAGGGTACACAGTTCTATTGCCTGGAATTTAAAAGCTCATTACACTAGGTTTTAAAAAGTAACTGAAGTAAGGGATGATTAAGTGCTGGCCTGTGCCCTGCTGACTATCACGTACTAGGCTTGCGCTTCAAAGTATAAACTCAAGGTAAGCCTTTACCTAAGCTTCATGAAAAGTAACATTACTTTATTGCAGGCAAGGACAAGGTTAAGGTACAAAATATATATAAAGACTAATTATGTTACATTTATTTGCACTGTCTATTTTTTACTCTAGCTCTTTGAAGACTATCATGTTTTTAAAAAGCCTGGCTTGAAGTTGATGTCTGAAAAGACACCTGAGGCATATGAAATTGATGAAATGCTAGATTTGGATGCAAAGGTAATTTGGATATTATTTTGGCTGGTTAATTAGTCTGTACTTTAAATGAAAACACCAAAAGGGATAAACTAGGCCTCTTTAACATCCTTTTTTCCCAAATAAAAAGATCATGTGATGTATTCTTAAGGGAATTTGCTTTTGTCTTTTCTTAAGATCTCCATTGGGAAAACAATTATCCATGCATTCAAACCAAGTCCATGATGCATTGCACATGGTGAACACAAATCCTGTGAATTTCATGTAACAGGAAATTACTGATCGTTGAGAAAGGCTTACTTTCTGCAAAGATTTGGTATCCATTCCAAGGGCTCAGGCTATCTGTTCAAAAAAAAATTGTCATTCATTCGATTGGCTCTAGCTATCCATTCAAAAAAGAAAGGTTATCCGTTTGAATGACTCAGGCTATCTGTTCGATAAAAATTGCCATCCGTTCGAACGGCTCGGGGAAAGAAAAATTGTCATCTGTTCGAAAGGCTTTGGCTTTCCCAGGGTTGTCATTAAGATTTCAAGTTGCAGGGTAAATACAGCAGGTAGGCAAGAAATCAAACAGCTAGGGATTTCTTTTGGTTTTATTTTTCTCCTATTTTTTTTATGAAAGTAGCTGAGGGCCATGCTTATAGTAGCTGGGGCAAATCCCCAGACCCTACTTCTTAATGACAGCTCTGCTATCCACTTAAAAAAATTGTCATCCATTCAAATGGCTCGAGGTATCCTTTCAAAACAATTGTGAGCTGTATGCTGCTGTTCCAAACCACTTTCACCCAAGCCGTTTGTGACAAACCTGTCAAAAAAATTATGTAACCTTAAATAATTCTTCCAAAGTGTTGTTTATAACCATTGCCTCATGAATTTTCCCAGTACATTTTCTGCTTTCATAACATCAATTATCTGTTGAAGTTTAATTCAAGGCTAAGTTATAATATGCAACAAATTTCCCAATCAAGTTATGTTTTGACTTGTCAAATGTTTTTTCCCCATTGGAGTACACTCTCACATGCACTGTCAATGAACTTTGCCTAAATCATGTTTATTACCATCATTTTCTTTAACCATTCCTAGGAAAACAGTAATTAATAATAAATAATATTTACTAATTAAAAGCTATTTCCACAGTACAGAACTTAAAAATAAAAAAGGTTCATTGCATCTTCACGGCTGTTTACATGTTGTTATAAACTTCAATGCGCGTTTATACTTTGTCATTTGCTTGGCATCTTCAGAGTCATGCTCCCACCAGCAATGACGGAGCTGTACACATCACTCTTTTAGGTAAACCCGAAATGTCATTGGACTCATCCACTTCCATGAGAAATAATATGTACCAGTATTTACTGGCTTTGCAAGCGAACGTGTTAATTAAAAACGCAATGGTGACACAACCACAGCTGGCTATTTGTCATCCTGTGGGAAAGCCTGGCAAAAGTGTTGACCAAATGCCATTTCAAAACAAAAGCAAACAACCATGTTGCCTTAAGGTTGGCAATGGGCCTTTAATGCAGACACCTCGTTATTATGGATAGTGTTCCTGGGGAAAGTTCAACCCACTTAATACAAACACATGTAAATATGGATAGCAGGCACTTGTTTCTTTCTCCATCAATAGATGTTCATAGAAAAGCAAAGTGGCTTATACCAACCATGTGTTGTAATAATCCTTTCCATTCTGAGGGTAAAATTAAGCCTTTAGTTGACAGCATGTTGGTGTTCCCAACATTAACATATGGACACTTTTTATGGCCCCCTCAATGTTCACATTTATAGCATTTGGCTACAAGGTAAAGAGGTCTATTGAGTTACAATATATTAACTAAATATTACTCCTTGCAAATGTACAGTGAATCATCTATCAAATATGTTTAATACTGCAGTGACTACTGTAGACTTGCCACCCTCCCCTCAAGAGGCAAAAATCTTGAGAGTCTGAACCTAGACAAAAAGAAGTGAGTAGTAGTGGAAAAAATTGTTAGATGTCTGAAATTTCTAAGTTAGGGATTATGGGTATTAGAAGTTATATATCATTTAGGAGCTGGTGCAGTCAAAATCATGATCAATCTTCTTCATTGCTCAGCTCAGACGCATGTTGCAGGCAGCAATCATGAAATGGAAGAAATTGGCATATTTTAACATTGCTGTACATTTTGTGGTAGTAGCAAGTTGCTGTAGGGTTTGCAATAGAGACATTGCTTAAGAGTGAAAAGTTTTAAGAATGTCAGACTGACTGGTCTTGAAATTGTAAGACGTGGTAGGTCTGGTACTGAACAGCTGACCTTGCAGTCACAACAATGAATTAAGAACTGTTGCCCTTCCCCTCATTCCACACGAAACAGAAAGTTAAACTTTTTCAAGATGAGAACTGCATTAGGCCACATGACCATACTGATCATGTGATCAGGTACATACTTATAGCTAGGGGAAGAGGGGGGGGGGGGGGCTGTGTGGTGAATGATTAAGTTTTCCTCATCGGAACTTGTTGTCATCAGCTACGGTGTGTTTCAGAATGGCTGAGTTTGGGTGTTTGTTGTGTGTGTTCATAGAAATGCATATCTTCAATGTGATCCTGTCAATCTCTTTCATATAAAGTAGCTGTTCATAACACTGCACATTTGCCATATAATAACTCTCACGACTTTGTTCTGAGTCTCAGAATTTTATGACCTATCTCACGCTCTCACAAGATGACAACTGATTTCTCATGCTTTCTCAAAAATTCAAACTTCAAAACAATTTTGGAGCTGTAGGGCTTGTTTCCAAGTTAGATTTAATAGTATAGATAATCCACTCAATCCAAAACATTGAATGCTTGGTGGTCATGTTTGATTACATTCTTTTAGCCTACAGTGACTTGATGCTTTTACTTAATGTGTAGTCTGATCAGACTTTATTAATACTGTTTCTCTTGTTTCAAGATGGCCGTCAACAAAACATAAAATTACAAAACCTACATCCAGCTTTAAAGTGATATGTGACTTCCAAGTACCCATGATCCCCATTAAGAATTCTTCCACTAGGAAATTTGGGCCTTCTCCCGACTTTTTATCCATTTCTCACTGCATTTTCCAGCTCTAGGTTCAGAATCTCACATATTTTGCCTTTTGGTGATTGGCAAGTCTCACACTGGTTTCCACACATTGCACAAATTGTTGACTACTCTACTCTTTTAATGGGCAGCTAGTACAAATTAGGTAATCACACCATGTTGTTGGAATTCTCTTAAGTTTCTTATTTTTTTATGTAAGTTCAAAGCTTGGGGCAGGTATAGGTTCTGCTCACCTGTTTTGCCAGTTATTAAAAACCACAGCAAATGTTATAGGGCTTTAAAGACTCCAAGGCAAAATACCTTGTACATGTTTTGGTTTGCCATAATTATTATTTTAACAGTCTCTTATGTGAAATAACAACCAGTGAAATATATTGCTGCAAAAGCTAACAAACCGTGAAACACACTTTGAAAAGACTTATGCATGTTTCTTACTAGTGAAATGATTACACATGTTGTAGATAACTCACAGCTGCAAACCGATTTCATTCCATTTTATGTCTTTGTATTATTTTTGTGTGTGCATCATGTCATTTTTTCTTTTTTCAGGTTGAATGGTTTATGCAGCAAAAAGAGAAAAAGTATATACTTCATTCCCAAAGTTTTAATGATCCTTTGTTCAAAGAACAATGGTACATTGTAAGTTACCTCCACGTTTTTCATAATTATAGCGGAGCTCTCGCGCGCGAAGCACCATGGGTAAGAAAATTTGATAAACTATGCATCCAAGAAATTTTGGTTCTGAGAAAACCGTCCATACGGAGTACGAACGTACGTACGTCCACCCTTCATGTAAGCCGGGGTGAAATTTTGCAAGTACTGCTCCTTTCGAGAGTAAATCGCATAGCCACTTTTAGAGATTAAAAAAACAACAACAACGAAGCCGATTATTTTTTCGACTTAACTGTAAAGTCTACATAGCCGTGCATAACAGAGAAAGAGCTAGAGCCAGAGATAAAAAAAAAAAAGACCGATTTCGTTTGAAGAATAACATGAAAATTTTATAGCAGCTGTGACAAAATGAGAAATGCTAGCGGCCACCAAGGTAAAAATGAACGGCAGCGAAAAAAAGTTTACAGGACCACATACAACATTTCCTCCATAAAACGTGTAACTAGGGAGTTTCTTGAAGTTTCACGTTGTCGTCGTGCAAAACAACGGCAAAGAAATGTACAAAAAAGTGTGCTTCACGTGCAAAGTTGTTTTGTTTGCTAATTAGACCTATTGTTTTTTTTTTCGCTGTTTTCATTGCCGTCGCCGCTTGGTTAGCATTACATGATTTTACATTTTTTTTTTTTCAGTAAACTATAGATATTAACGTGAACTTCGCTTTTAGCCCTGGCTAAATCTATATACACTAATAGATAACTGTACGTTGTAGAACATAACTCTCTTGCTAATTTTACTGGCCCAGTATATGTAGGTGAGATTTTGGATTCAAATGAAGAGACATGTTTGATCATAGCATAAAATAAGGTTCTTTTAACAATTTTGTAAGCCCCCCTCCCTGCCCCACATGAAAAATATTTTGTTCATTATAACCCCTTCCCCCAATGGAAACCTGACCACCTTACCCCTTAATAACTATTGAACGGTCCCTAAAAGAAACGTTTCCATAATAGTTGAAAAGAAATTGTTAGCTTTTTATAACTGTACACTGATTATATGGTTTTACTTTTTTAGGAGAGACTGCAAGGGCCGACTTTTAACATCAGTTCTGTGTGGCCAACGTACACTGGAAGAGGAATTATTGTGGCAGTGGTGGATGATGGAGTTGATGGAAGTCACCTTGAGCTGGCACCCAACTATGTAAGGGGGTCACTTCTTTTTTATTGTTACTGCCAGTTAGTAATTATGGAGAAATTGATGTTTATGTTGACTGAGTTACATGCATTTGCAACTTTTGCTAGATTATCAGTAGTTCCACAGGTGGCCCAGTCTTAAAGTTGTGTAAGCTCCGAAATACAAGTATTTGTATGGGAAAGAACGGTTGTTTCTATAACCTACGAATGTGAAAGGATCTGAAACAAAAATTGGCTAACCTCACTTTGTTAAGTTGTGAGTTACTTCTTCATGGGCCTCGAGCCGATTTATGGGTTTGTCCTCTCTATAATCCCCTTTCAAAACAGTTCCAATGTTAAAAAGCTAATATATAGATTTAGCCAGGGCTAAAAGCGAAGCTGTCCATGATATTTATAGTTTGCTCAAACAAAGTATATAATCGTGTAACGCTAAGCGGCGAGCAACTTTGCATGTGCGGCACACTTTTTTGTACATTTCTTTGTCGTTGTTTTGCACGACTACAACGTGAAACTTCCAGAAACTTCCTCGTTACTCGTTTTATGGAGGAAATGTCATACGTGTTCTTGTTCATTTTTTGAAGTTTGAAATTTGAAGTTTATTAATTCATGAATACATAGCAGTTCGAAAACTGAATTGCGTATTTACGTTACAAAAAATTGATTATAGATCTAGACATTAACTAATCTATCTTAATTAAAAGGAATAAAAAAGCTAACAAGAGATGAGATGCTAAAAAAATATCGAAATACAAGCTGCGAAATGCAAAAACTCAAACCTATAAATTAGTCGTTTTAAGACATGAAAAGATGATAAAGCTATTCTTAAAACGGTCAGATGTTAAAAGGTCGCGCGCGCCTTTATGAATAAGTAGATTCGTGCGGTGCAAGTAATAACCTATAAAAGCGGTGATTGTTGAAAAGTGATTCAAATATTTCGTCATGATGGGCTGCTAATTCTTTAAAGATCATAATAACAAGAACCTCATGATAGCTCACACCGGGACAGATAATGGATATTATTGCTCTCTTCTGTACACGTTCCAAGTCGTGCATTAAATATTTAGGCAAACTGATGTGAAAGGCCGGTACTGCATAGTCCATAATTGATCTACAACTAGCCGGTAGAAGAGCCCTAAATCAGTGCGAGTAACCTTAGCTCTCTTAAGTTGAACCAAAAAATATAATCTCTTGGAGGCCTTCATAACAATTTCATTAATATGGATATTCCAGGTCAAATCACTGGAAATACTGAGACCCAACAGCTTTACGCTTTCTACAACTTCTAATTGGCATCGCCGTTAGTGAGAATGGGCTCAAAATGTTGCTGGGGTTGTTAAATTTTTCTTGAAATTTCGTCGAACTTGTGCCACATGCCGGCCCTTACAGCAGACATGCTATAAAAGATTCTTGATGATAAACTACGTCCACTTAGTGAGCAGCTTAAACAAGCGTTGGAGTCAATCTCCACGCTGCGTACAAAATATGATAACATCAAAGAGATCTCCTCAAATTTGAATCGCATCCTAGTACAGAAAATTTCCCAAATACTTTGGGCTCATTTTATTTTCAACCTCAAATTCTGCAGCCAACAAGAATAACAGATCACTCAGCAACTCTTATTGACAATATTTTCTATAATTCCCTTGAGCACTTTTCTATCAGCGAAATTTATGTTATGATTTATCTGACCATCTACCAATTTTTCTCATTGTAAGTAAACTTTCCTCTCTATCAGCAAAGATCAAGGTTTTAAAACGCGATTATTCAAACTTTGGTAAGCAAGCCCTAATAACTGACATTCAATCAATAAACTGGGATGATTTACTTGGAGATGTTTACGAACCAAGTAGTATGTTTGATAGTTTGACTGTATAATAAAATATCTGAGGTTATTGATACAAGTAATTATCTAGACAAGAATTAAAAAGTAGATCCAAACCATGGATAACCTGTTGAATCAGGACCTCTATTAGAATAAAGAATGGTTTATTTAAGAAATTCTTAAAGACAAAATCTACCTACTACCATGCTAGATTTAAGTTTTACAGGAACAAACTGAATCATTTAATTGAATTAAGTAAAAGAAGCTATTACAATAATTTTTTTTTTCTATTCACGAAAATAATGGCAAACGAATCTGGCAAGGAATTAAACAAGTTGTTCAAATTAACGCACAGGTAAATCAATCGATCAGCAAAATAGTCTTGTAAAATTAATTTTGTGAAATAACTGATCTTAAAGCAATAGCTAATGCGTTCAATAATTATTTTGCCAATGTAGGTAGTAGTCTTGCAAGCTCCATTCCCAGTGCTTCAAAAACTGCTAATGAGTTTAGGCCACCTCCCACATGTGATAGTTTGTTTCTATCCCCAGTCACTACAGATGAAATTCAATTAGAAATAGCTAAACTCCAAACTGGTAAAGCTGTGGGGCCTTCTAGTATTCCTTTCTCAATTTTAAAGATCCTTAAGTCTGAATTAGCAGGCCGTTTACCGGTAATATTTAATACATCTTCTCTTACTAGAATTGTCTCAGATAAATTCAAGTTGGCTAGAGTAATACCAGTCTTTTAGAAGGGCTGTCAGACAAACCTATAATAAATAAATAATGCCTTTATTTACCGAGGGTAACATTAAATAGCCCAAGGCTGATAAACTTGTGGCCCTCAAAACACATATTACAAATATATAATAATTATCAATACTAATAAAAACACTAAAAAACTATTTACAATGTCCAGGTATAAAAAGATTACAGAATCAATGTTGCCAATATTTACAATTAAAGATATATAGTAAAATACAACCTAGACATTAAAATGATGCAATAGTTGCTGATCCTTAAAAACTCTGCTAATCATGTTATTCTTAAAACAAGGTAGCGAGTCTGCCTTGCGTATATCTAATGGGACACTGTTCCATAGTTTCGCCGCCGATACTGAAAAAGTTCGTCCGCCCTCGGTTTCTCTGCGGTACTTGGGACATACAATATTTATATTCATTTGGCATAGCGAGTATTGCGCGCGTGGCGATTGTTATTTATAATAATCTGATCATTTAAGTAAATAGGTAAAGTCCCATTAATACGCTTATAAATAGTAGAGCACTTATCAGTCCTTGATTGTTCATAAAACGGGATCCAAGAGAGCTTGTTAAAGAGGGCAACAGAAGACGCCTAGCGATCCGCATAAAGAATGACTCTTGCCGCGCGCTTTTGCAATTTAAGGACGCGGTAGAGCTGCTTCTTGTCGCATGAAGACCAGATGACACTAGCATAGCTCATAACGGGACGGATCACTGCATTATAGTATTTAACACGCTGACTAAGCGGTAGGAAGGCTCTTATTTTTCGCAGCACCGCAATTCGTAAGGCGAGCTTTTTGCATATTTTATCAACATGTGCATTGAACGATAACTTGCTATCAATTTCTAAACCTAACAAGGCTGCACTTTCTACATTACGTAGGGTATTATCGCTGTCAGTCCTAACAGAAAGCTCACAATTCAGGTGTGATTTAAGCCTCTTTCCAGTAATCGTGAGAACCTTAGTTTTGTCCTGGGCAGTTTGTTGGCGCTGGTCCAGGCTTGAATTTCTCTGACAGATTTATTTAGTGACAGGTCTAGATGGGCCAAGTTTTTCACATCTGCCAAAGCCGACACAGTCGTATCATCTGCGTAAAGATCTACAACTGCACTGACATGTAGGGGCAAATCGTTAATGAACAGGATAAAGAACAGCGGTCCAATAATACTGCCTTGCGGGACCCCATGCCTTAACATCGCCTCACCCTAGTCCTTTCCTCGTACATGAACCACTTGTTTTCTGCTGCATAGATTCGAGCGACACCAATTGAGCTCCTGGTTGGCAACGCCATACACCTTTTATTTTCTCAACAAAAGTTCGTGATCAACCATGTCGAACGCCTTTCAATAATCCACTAGAACCATGCCTGACATTCTGTCTTTGTCTAGGTTAAGCAATAATTCACAATTATCTTGATACGAGCAGTCTCGGTACTGTGGTTTCTTTGGAATCCTGACTGTCTAGAGTATATTAGATTGTTTTCATTAAGGAAATCGTACAATGAGTCATGAAAGTGACGCTCGATTATCTTTGACGAAAAGGGGAGGACAGATGTGGGGCGAAAATTACAAGGGTCACACTCCAATCCATTCTTAAATAAAGGTGTGAATTGGGCAATTTTCAAGCTCGATGGGAACTTTCCAATGGAAAAAGACAGGTTAATTAATCTGGCAATACTTGGTGCAACTGCAGCAGCAGAAGAGCAGCCATTTCCGTGGCGTCATCCACGTCGCGCCCGTCAACTCTCAAGCTAGATCACTCCTTTTAGATCCAGTTAGGGTTTTTATTGTCTTCCAAATTGCTCTGGCGTTATTCTCATTGTCCTCAAATGAATTGTTATAAAATTCACGCTTAGCCGAGCGCAGTACAGAACCGGCTTTGTTTCTCGCAACACGGTGATTAGCCCAGTCATCGGCAGAGTCTGAGCGCCTCGCCACCTTAGTAAATGGTCACGAGTGTGAAGTTGTTCCCAAGCATGAACAACATCATCGATGTAATTATAGACCTCTCTCTCTTTGACCAGTATTTAATAAGTTGTTAGAAAAACTCATCTTCAATCGGTTAGCAGACTTCTTAGAAAAAAGGCACCTAATCTATAACAAGTAGTTTGGTTTCCGCTCACACCATTCAACTGATCATGCACTACTCAGTATTATCGACCAGGTGCAAAAAGTTATTGAAGATCGTGATTACTCTTGCGGAATATTCCCAGACTTCAGCAAAGCATTTGATACTGTTAATCACAACATTCTACTTTGAAAGCTTGAATTCTATGGTATCAGAGGTGTTATTAAAGACTGGTTTAGCTCATATCTGAGAAACAGAACGCAAACGGTATCACTTGGCTTTGTAAATTCTGATATACAAACTGCCTGTTGTGCGGTACCTCAAGGATCAGGACTTGGACCACTCCTTTTCCTAACTTATATAAATGACTTTCACAATTGCTCAAAACTACTGGATTTTCATCTTTTTGCAGATAATGCAAATTTATTCTTTAAGCATAAGGACCTTAACATTCTTGAAAGTGAAATTAACAGTGAACTTGCTAATGTACATATTTGGCTATCTGCGAATAAGCTCTCACTGAATATTCATAAGTCAAATTTTGTCATTTTTCATCCAGTACAAAAACGAATTCCCAAAAAGGTTATACTATTCATAAATAATCAATCATTAACTGAAGAAAATTGTATTAAATACCTTGGAGTTTATATAGATTCAAATATTAGTTGGAAGAGCCACATTAACTATATTGTCAAAAAAAAAAACAAAAGAAGTGTGGGTATTCTCTCTAAGCTTTGCTATTTCCTGAACTCAAGAACTTTTCTTAGCTTGTATTATACGTCAGTAGAGCCATTCTTCCATTACTGCGTAATTGCTTGGGGCAATGCATATCTGTCAACTTTGCAACCCTTATTACATTTACAAAAGAAAGCTATAAGAATTATCACCTTCTCCAGTTTCACTGAACACTTAAGTCCTTTATTTAAAGGCTTGAATGGTTTAAAGCTGTCTGATATCATTACCCTCCAACTTGCAGTGTTTATGTATAAGTTCCATAACCAACTTTTGCCTTCTGTTTTTGATACTTTTTTAAATCCTGTCGGGAACATACATTGTTATAACACTAGGTTGTCCAGCAGGATGACTTATGCTATCCCAAAAGCCAGAACAAATTATGGAATTTTAAACGTAAGGTTTCAGGGTGTTAAAGTTTGGAATGATATAAGTGATGACATCAAGCTCCTTCCTCTCAAACGTTTTAAGAATAAGCTAAAGTCACTTCTTATTGATAAATATTACTTGCAAATTTATCAACAATATATTTTTTTCTGGCTTTCCGTTGCTTGATACTGGCACACTTAGTTTTCTTTCTTTCTTTTTTCTTTGTGTTATTTACTAGTTTTTTTTCCCCTTTTGTGTGTGTGTTTTGTGTAGCTGTGTCTCGTGTGTGTACCTGACCCTTAATAAAATCATTTATTAATAACCTAAGTAAGGCTGCCCTGTGTTTTTAGCCCTCAATGATTATTATGGGCAGCCTGTACTCTCTCTATATTTAATATTTTTGTTTTAGATATATATAATGTAAATCAATGTGGAGTACAAATAAAGTTGTTGTTGTTGTTGTCTGTATTCCAAAATTGTGGACATAACAATTAATGTAAGCTTAATACTTTAGACAACACGGATACAGGAAAAATTTCCGCTTTCCGTTTTCGTCTTTATTGACTCTTTAGTTGTCTCTGCTTCACAAGACGCGGGTGGCTATGCGATGTCCCGCCAAAATAACCTCAAGGGCGGTCGGGCGGGCGGGCGTACGGTCACATGATTACCAAAATTTCTCGGTTGCATAGTTTACCAAATTTTCTTACCGTTCGTGCTCCGCTGCGCACGCGAGAGCTCCACTATAAATCTGTTCCTGGGTTAAACAGAACAGAATGAAAAATACCCCTTAACCCTTTAAGTCCCTATATCCACATACCAATTCTCCAAACTGTTCTCTATACATTTCCATAAAGAATTAGTTGTCAATTATAGAATATGAGAGAAGATCAAAGCATTTTCTCTAAGGTGATTATTTCATTAATTCTCACAACCTTTGCTCTCGCTTGTGTGGTGATATTGATAGAAGAGGATTTATGTTGGTCACCTTTGGGACTTAAAGGCTTATTAATAAGTAAGGTTACCTGATTTTTATTTAAATCCTTTCACATTTGTAGGCTACAGAGGCAATCGCTGATTCACCATACAAATCCTTCGCAGCAAAACCGATGGTCGTGTTTCGAGCTTGCTTACTTGTGGTAGCACCCTCTTTAACCCTTAGTGAGGATAAAAATGTTCAGGGCCTAGTTGTTCAAAGCTGGGTTAAGATAACCCAGGGTTAGTGCAGATTTGAATTCGAGTATGAAAGCTTAAGAGGCAAATTCAGTTTAATTGTTCGAGAAAATGCTTTCGATGAAAAGAAAAAGAGACTCGGGTTAAAATTTAACCCAGGGTCAGCGCTAATCGGCCTTTGAACAACTGGGCCCAGATCACTAACAAAGCACACCACGTCCAGTACTTAGTCCTATACAGCGAATCGACTATATTGCCTGATGAAGGCCAGCAGCAAATCACCATCACTTATTGCATCGATTATCGTCAGAAAAACTGTAAATTAATAAAGCCATCACATTGTTATCCATTTTTTCAGGATGCAGCATTAAGTTACGATTTTATTGAAAATGATCCAGTACCAATACCAAACGGAAGGCCATTGACAGGGTAAGTGTCTTCTCTTCCCCTGCCGGGAGGGTGCACTTCCTTTTTTCGGCTAAAAGGGTATGTGCCGTCGAGTAGGGTGTAGTTATCGTGGTCTTCAGTATTAAACTAAAACAAAATGTAGAATTTTACTATTTGGCGTTTTCAACAGGATGTATTTTCTGCACCCGAAGCCTTGAACAGATCAGAGTCTGAACATCACCATCATCATCGTCATAATCGTCATCATCGTTAGCGTCAGCATCCTCATCGTCATTGTCATCAACATCAACATCGTCATCGTCGTTGTTGTCATCGTTTCGTCCTCGTCTTCGTTGTGGCCCTCGTCCTTGTCTTCCTTGTCGTATATCTCCTTGTCCTTCTTGTCATCCATCTCCTCGTCTTCGTCCCCGGTTGCCTCCTCCTCGAGCTCCTTGTCGTCCATCTTCTCGTCTCCTTCCCGCCCTCCTCCTCCTCGTCCTCGACCTTTTTGTAATAATAATGATAATGATAATGATAATGATAATGATAATGATAATGATAATGATAATGATAATAATAATAATAATAATAATAATAATAATAATTCCCTTATTTACCCTCGGCAGTATTTATAGCACTTATGCTAGTAGGGTGGAGCAAGTTACCGAAACAAATAATTCAAACATAACAGGGTTAAGAATCCCAACTGACCGGAGGCAAACCAGCTGGCTATTTACAAGCATGGCCGAGGATTTGAACTCGGGACTACCGTGAACAAATCCAGCTAGCAGTCAGGGCGGGACTTGAACCCGAGGCCTCCGAATTGCAAGTCCAGCGCTCTAACAGCTCGGCCACGCTACCTCCATCGTCCCAGCACATCTCTTTGGCCTCGTCTCCGGTTGCCTCCTCGTTCTCTTCGCCTTCCTCTTCCTCATCCTCAGGTCAAGATTATTTCTCCAATATGCCTAAAGCTGCGGACGTTTTTGATTTTGTTGTCACCAAGAAAAATGAGGCTATCTTTTTTCCCTTCTTAATCATCTACGTTAAATGACATTGTTTCGGTTTAAACGTAAGACATTTGAAAAGCAATGCGGGTGAATGTGTCTGCAGAATGTGTTGAAGTTTCTCTAGTGATAGCGAAGACCTTCTTCGTAAGACTTCAGCTAGAGGTTTCTTGGCAGAAATCGTCTCGCTCATTCCTTTGTTCGGACACAAGACATCGATCACGATCATTCGTGGCGAATTCAAAAGGCTCACTTTACAACTCTCGGTCGCCTGTTTCACAGCCATTACATAATCAAGACTGGTTGGCGGTGGGCGATCTACTTGTGAGCTAGTCACAAATAATTTTGTATGAAAGTGAACATGAACAAAATATGATTCGCTTCATTTATTTTTAGGTCTATTATTTGCCGAAGCCGAAGGCTGGGGCAAATGATTGATCTGCGAGACATTGACAAGTTACGATCAGTTTAGCGATAACCGAGTTCAATTTAAAAAAATCAGAAAGAAAAGAGAGTTGCTTGATTCTATATGAGAAACGAATTGAATTAGGGTCATGAGAGAAAACCTCTTGTCTTAAACAAATTAGACAGGGTAGTGAACGGTTTACTTTTTTTGTTTGCTTTAAGTAATACAGGATAAAGGTTTAAGGGCTTCGCTGGCACAACCTTACCCAAACGTCCCTTGAATGCACCCCCTCCAGTCTAATAGCTGTTACTACTGTTACTACGTTTTGCAGGACAAGGGATACTGCTACCCTATAGTCTCTATGGTTCCCGGGGTGCTAAGGTGGAGTCCCAGTTCACAGAACATTTTATCTCGGTACCGTTTTATATTTCTTGACGCAGAGATCCAGTGAAAAGAAACAATGCAGTATTAAACATTTAGCCGCGCTCAAATCTCTGCCTTCATAAAAGCAACGCCCCGCTAAGGGGAAAAAAGTTCTTTGCTCTTGCTTCGAAAGTTGAAGTCCCTGACCTAGTAAAACTTTACTTTATCACGGAGGCCTTTACTTTTGGGACATTTTGACCATAAACCATCTTCCACTAGATCGCCTTTTAAAGGAACATTTCTTATGAGTATAAAAATATATTACCTTTACTTTTCTCAAACAGACATGGCAACAAATGCGCAGGAGTTATAGCTGGTGCATCTAATAACAATTTGTGCGGCGTGGGACTGGCATACAACGCCAAAATTGCGGGTATGAATCGGTTCACGGCTTAACCATTTGCAGTGAGCACATTTTAATACAAAACTTTGATACAAAGTAGTTTCGTCGTTCTTTTCAAATTTCGTATCCTCCAAGTAAATTGTTTTGTTAACTTAGGTCTTCGCATCTACGACAAAGATATCAGGTCAACCGATGCCACAGAGTCAGGGGCTTTTTCTCACAGAACAGACGTGATTGACATATACTCAAACAGCTGGGGACCTGGGGACATAGGCTGGCAAGTCCAAGGCCCGGGAGTGTTGGCCAGTAAAGCCATAGAACACGGCATACAGAAGGTATCATTTTAATACTACGTTTGTCTTCAAACAATGTTACTTTTAAGTTTCTTGCTTGCGCAATTTTATATTATTTTCAGCGATTATCGACTGTTCACAGAATTAAATCAACTGAGCCATAAAAAGGCGTAGAGCACTACAGTCCAACCTGTATATATTGGTCACCCTCGGGAAATGGCCAAGTGACCGTTATATACATGTGTACGCTTGTCAGTGAATATAATATTTGTATTTGAGTGTGATTCCTGCCCAGGTAGCGCAATGTAATAAGCTTTTGAATTATATTTGCTATGTTTCGCTAAAACGTCTATCGTAATCCGGCAATAGCCATTATAGCTCTTGTCTTAATTCAATTTGGCGACCTTCATATACAGGTAAAAACAAACTGAAACTGTGCATTCGGGAAGTCCAAAGGTTGACCGCACCATTATATACATTTGTACAGGTGACCGCCATTTCCAGGTCAGTTTTACAGAAAATATCAGGCAAAATTCTCGGGAAATTCTCCGATGAACATAATATACAGGGTGGCTGCAAAAGAAAGGACCGTTACAGGGCTGTGCTCTAGCAGAGCCCGGTGGCCCCTGGCGCCTAACTTTTACCCTCGGGCGACTAGAAAATCTCAGATTTTTCGTATAAATCATATGCTGGGCACCCTAGATTCTACAGTTTCAGAGCACTGGGCTCCCTTCAGTTTTCCTTAGAGCACAGCCTTGGGTTATATACAGTTTTGACTGTATAAGATTTCCTAGTCTGCAGTCTCAAGAGTTATCTAACCACATAATTTTGAAATAAAATAATAGTACCAATTTTGAAAGTACTGCTGAAAAGGCCAACTATTTGAATGGTCACAGCATAAACGTTCGTCCGCAGTCTTAAAGAGGCAATGTAAGGGGGCCATTGCCATGGCAAGCCTAGACACACTAAAAGGCAGGCGAGTTGCTGCTTGTCAGAGGTTCATCATAAATGCGCAGCAACATCCTCCCCTCATGAATGTTATCCCCTCCCCTACGTACCACGAGTGTGAATACTCCCTTCGTTTCTGCAATCCGAGACCCGTAATTGGTCGAATTAATAGACTAACTGATTTTGTTACAGTCAAATATCAACATGTTGTGTAATTGTGTACGCTTTTGCTGGCCTACCATGCAATTCAGTTAATGCTGCAATTGGGTAGTGGTCTATTGATGCGAAGAGACGATTGACCTTTTTAAAAATATGGCAAATGGTTTGTGTAAAAGTTATAACTATACGTAATAATGAATTTTACGCTGTGAGGAAAGTACTTTTTAAGGAAATTAAAATGTGTCTCTTGAAAAACTTGTTCGTGTATGCATAGTGTGTTTAACGTGTGTGTCGCTAAATTGCAGGGTCGTGGAGGACTGGGTGCTATTTACGTATTTTCAACAGGCAATGGTGGCTTTGCTGGAGATTGTTGCGGCTATAACGGTTATGTTAATAGCATTTACACTATTGCAATCAGTGGGGTGAACATGGATGGATCTCTTCCAGCTTATGCTGAGGAGTGCGCAGGAATCATGGCTACTACGTATAGCACAAACGGTGTCAAAGGAAAAGTTGTAAGTAGAAACAGCGAGTTTATTTAATGTTTTCTGTCATTTGTGGTAAAAAAGGAACCGCCTCAAACGGTTAAATCAGCTAAAGCCACCAAGGCGATGATAGGTGGCATCAAGGCCTATGTAAATCAAGTCATATCACCTCACCGGCATGGCTTTAGCACTGGAAGATCGTGTATATACAAATACCTTCCTCGTGAATACATTGTCTTACTCAGTTTTAAACAGCTGACACCGTTATATGTCAAAGGCCTTCAACAAAAGCCAGGCTAAGAAATGGCGTTTTAAAGCGGTACACGCTAACCTAAAGAGGACTTTTTCCAATCATGGGCAGTGGTTTCGCCCATATATTCGCGCAAATGCAGTCGTCTCTATGAGAGTAAAGACACTTAGCAATACAAATTTGCACGGTACGGTCAAGGCATATTAAAAGGGAAAATGACTCACCTCCTGTTGATGTGCCACTCAAAAACTCCTTTGCTTAAGCTCCCTAAAGTCATCCACGGAAAGCTTAAAACTTGCTCCCAAACATATGGTCTCCTCTTCAGTGAAACAGAGTGTAAGTCGCTGCGCCTCACAAGGAGGACAAAGTCCATAACATCTGCACGAAACTACCAACTTATTAAAATACATTTTGAACTTTTTAGCCAACGAGCTTGAATTCAGTTCAGCATCCATAACTTCATTCAAATCAATCCTCAATTCTCACTTCCTTTGATGGTCCTCGTACGTTTCCGTCTGTCTGCTTAAATGTAAACGTGTTCGTCCGTTATCTCGTCCTATCGTAGTTTGTAGCCACTTTCGTCTGTTTTCAGTGTGGCAATATTCTTAGAATTTAGCAGTCGCTCTTAGTTTATTTTATATGGATCCGCTACAATAGACCTTTTTACCGATACGGCGGCCATATTGAATTAATTCGATTTAAGGAGTATTATAGGATGCTCAGGGGGCATGAGCACATTTCGTTTGTATTTTCGAGCGCTTTTTGGGACATTTTTTCTTAAAGTTTTCTTAGAATAAGATTGTAATGGGAAAAAAGATCCTTGTACCGTGTTTGGATGTAATAATGATCGCCTTTTTCTTGTTTAGTATTAGAAATATGGTCTTTCAATGTATATTTCTCGGGAAAAAGGCGATCATTATTACGTCCAAACAGGGCACAAGGATCTTTTTTCCCATTACAATCTTATTCTAAGAAAACTTTAAGAAAAAATGTCCCAAAAAGCGCTCGAAAATACAAACGAAATGTGCTCATGCCCCCTGGGCATCCTATAATACTCCTTAAATCGAATTAATTCAATATGGCCGCCGTATCGGTAAAAAGGTCTATTGAAATACCTCCAAGAACTGCGTGACAAGTCTACATTGTTCGAAAAAGACACGATTAAGGGTTTCCGAACCCGTTTAGCATAATGAACATTATCATTTGATAGATTACAGATGAACACAAAATTTTATCGGTTGTTGGATCAGGGAATGCGCTATTGGGTACTTTATTACTTATTACTTAATTATTACTTAATTATATGATTTATTACATTGTACGGGCTAACATTTCTTAGTTTTTACGCCAGTGTTCATTTTTTTATTTGCACAAATGTCTATGATTTTCAAGGTTTCTTTTAGGCTGTAATTTGCACAATTTGGGATCGTCAACTGGTTGAACTTTATAACTGCCACAAAAACGTTTGGGAAGTACGTGTGGCAGAATTCACACGAGTTAGGTTTTTCGGCTTTTCTTTTTTACTTACACTGAAATTTTCGAATCAATTCTCTCCCATTTCTCCTACTGTTAATATGTTTGCGGAGTCCGTTTGTGAATTGCCACTAATACAAAAATGTGAGGAAACTGCATTGCAGAAAAAGTAAATGAAACATAGCTTCTGGTTGGGGTGACAAACCTTGTAATGTCAACTGATTTTATCCACAAACCAAGGGGTTAGGACAAAGTTTATATTTCTCTGTAATTCTAGATTAGGGGACTGAAATTCATCCATCCGTCAAATGTCTCCCAGCCTTTGGTTAATTTTTTTTTTTCTGGTCAAAAAAGTGGTCCACTTGTTTTCTTTTCTTGGTTGGCTTATTCTGTTACACCTTTTTGTTTTTCTAGATAACTGCTGATAAATTACCGGGATGTGTTGATAATTTTGGAGGAACCTCAGCAGCGGCAGCAATGGCCTCTGGTCTCATTGCCTTGACACTTGAAGCAAAGTATGATCCTTTTTTAATCCTCTCCCCCGTAACATCGAACAAAGAAAAAAATCCGTAAACATCCTGAATTTGTTTTTGTAAAATTCTTAGAGATAAATAGTTCTTTGCTAGTTCTGGCTAGTTCTGAAATATCGGTAGACAGTTGTCGGTTATAAGCGCATATGGAGCGATGGGCAAGTTAAAGAACCTTTAAACCAAAGGAGGTCTCCTTTAAATGCTGAAGCATGCTAGGACTGTATTTATCAATATCTGCTTTAGCAAATTGTGGATTCCTTTTTTTGTTTGCGATGAAACGAAAACGGTTCCCCCCCCCCTTTTTTATTGGTGTTTTCTGATACTCATTAATGGCTTCAAGAAAAATATATTACAAGGGGGAAAACTCTGGATAGTCAGATCAGAAGTTGTGTGATTTAGATATGAATGACGTGAAGCCCCGCATTTACACAGAGGAGTAATTTGTAGTCACTTAAGTGGAAAAGTGTAGCCCAGACAAACAAACAGGCTCTAGGTTTTAGTAAGATATACGGTGCAATCCCAATTTGTTGACTTTCAAGTCCCCCTGTTATTCGAACCAAAACACTTCATAAGTGTAAGTGTAGTTTGCGCGTCTCCTTCTGGAAACGGGACAATCGCGACTTCCCGCTCTGCAGACAGAGCTAATCCTCTTTCCAGCAGACATTGTAATTTAACCACCAATTTTCCGAGCTCTCGATTCTCTTGAAAAATGAAATGCATTATTTTTTAAAGCTGCTTTAGTAACAAAGACAGTTCTATGAAACATGCGCCTGGAGGTCATTGCTCTTGAACCATGTACGACTTGTTTTTGTATCCAGTCCTTCATTAACATGGCGTGACGTACAGCACGTCATAGTTAGAAGCGCAAGACCAGCACCAGGAAGGGTTCCACTCGCGAATGGCTTCTGGGTAAAGAACAAAGCTGGTTTAGCTGTCAGCAAGTTTTATGGCTTCGGCCTTATGGATGCTGAGAAAATGGTGCAGTTGGCAAAACGGTGGAATACAGTGCCAGAACAACGAACATGCGAAGTTAGTGGCACTGACACTAACAGGTATTTAATATTTACGGTGTTTTTGTAGTGGTTCGGGGTACCAGAGTCGACGTGATTGTCATCCTTTCATTAAGGAATGTGCAGTAATTAGTGAGTTTCCGCGACAGGACGGCAAGGAAGAAGAGGACGGCAAAACACTTGTGTGAGACAAACTTGACGGAGCTATTACTTGCGTGTTTTGTCGTGATCTTCACTTAACACTAATTTTTTCTGGTCCTTTACAAAAAGGTCTGACTTGTTTAAATTACAGTGAAGTTTGGCGAAAAGTTGTTTCAAACGAAATTATTGTCACGTTTGTCACGCAAGGTTTGCCGTGTTCTTTCCTGTCCCGTCCTGTTGCGTAAGTTCACTATTATCAGGGAAAAGAGGTTCTGAAATGAGTACAATAGAGAGGAGAGTGACGTCAGTTTACCATCGTAATAAAAATATCTGGATCATAGCAACAGGTAGCTAAAGCAACGGTGACGGCAACGACAACGGGAAAAAATCAATAGGTTTATATTAGCAAAACAACAACTTTGCATGTGCATGAAGCTTTTTTGTACATTTCTCAGCCGTCCCGTTCCCGTTTTTTTTTTCACGCGCCCGCTTTATGGAGTAGGTGAACACAATACAAAAATTGTCCGTTTCTTTCTCTAAACTTAGATACGATCCTTTCGGATACAACCCCACAAAATTTGACAAATTAAATGAAATTGAATAAGATCAATGAAGTTTGAAATATCCAGAAATTTGTCATCCAGGAACTTTGTTACCGTGGCAACATGAATTATACTGTTCTACCTTTGCGATGACGATATGATTCCATTCATATATTTCCATTCATGTCATGTCATTTCCATTGGATATATTACGAACTCGCAATGGCCTGCTCTCCGGTTGGCTAGATTAACTCAATGGATAAAGCCTTGCGATCGGTCAGTCGCAAAGGACAGGGTTCGATTCCCGGTCAAGCCTAGTCAGGTTCTTTTTCAACTTCTTACTTTCACACTTCCAGCTACGTAGCAGAATCTTACTTTGGTGGCAAGGCCCAAATTGATTTTCACTTGAAAGAGCGGGAACCAGGAAGTCTCCTCGTAGCGACATTTATAGCATGTTGAAGGCTCTTACCCGTCTTTTTTTGCGCTCACTTTCTCGTTGCATGACGACGCCAAAAACGGCTGTGTAGCAGACTGCCACTGGCTGGAAGCCTGGAACAGACCACGACAGTTACTGCCTAAAATAGAGTAATGTAATCCCTGTTTGTAATTGTAGGGCCATCCCGTCTGACGTTTTTTTGACGGTCAAAAGCTGTGATATAAAATTCTTGGAGCATGTCCAGGTTAAGGTAGATCTTGATTTCGCACGCCGAGGATACCTGTATCTTGAATTGCAAGCGCCAAGTGGTATCATATCTCCCCTCACTCGTAGGCGTAACGTAGACATCGTCTTACGAAGCAGAAACCTGACAAACTGGAAGTTTACCACTTTATTCAACTGGGGAGAAGATCCTTCAGGCCGATGGAAACTCAAAATTGGAAATTTAGATCGAAACGTGCAACATAACGGTAAGTGTATAATTCACGTTTGTGGAATATCTTTACTGTGTACCACCATAACTTCAAGTCTATTAATCGATTCCTTTAGTGTGACCATTTAATAAAACCTCTGCATGATTTTACAGCTCTTAAATTTAATTCTAAGAGGCACCATACGTATTTTGTTTGGCTAGTACCCTAGGGTATATAACCTTATCCTTTTGGAAATCGTTAGAAATTTTTTGTTGTATTCGCGATAATCTCAGATGCTATTATTTTAAAGGTTTAAGAAAACGGATACCTGTTTCCGTCCTTTAATTACGATTAAAAACCAATTCTGGGAATTGAAACGTGAAAATCCAGAAAATAGTAATACTATCTCCTTGAATAAGCGCCCGGTCGCTTATTTCAACTACGGCCAAAACAGGGGGCGCTTATTGTGTTTTCCTTTCAACAAAGTGTAACTTTGTTTCGGCTACGTCTATGTTAACATAATAGTCTCTCGTTGTAAAACCAGTACGTTGTAGCGTACCATAGTCCCATTAAACACTTAACACACTAAGAAATGCATCTATATGCATATTTATAAAATGTCGATTATCTTATCATCCTCGAGGATCATCCACGTCAATGATGTGCAGATCTTCGCGTTCCTCTTGTATCCCTGCTATGTAAGAAATTGATGGGAACGGGACTGGGTGCTTGCTTAGTATTATGGCCAAGCCTTGGGCGCTCATTCGAGGAAATTTGGTGATAGGAAAAATCTTAAGATCTCAACTGAGCTGTTGTTACACGAGACGATTCGCAAAGACGATTTTTAGCGCAACACAGAGTTGCAGCATTGTTGCGACATTGTTTCGAACAATCACAACATTGTTCCAATGTTTTCAGATGCTAAAAATGTTCCAGTTTGAAAAAGTCGATAGTTTTCATTCGAAAATTGTAGTAAGCCACCTCAAACAAAAAAAAAACGATTGACACGGGATGTTTGTTAAGATTTTCCAAGTTTCAGCCGACCAGGAAATGGGTAAATAAAGTGAACTTGTCGGGTTGTTTTCAACCGAAAAACTTTTTCAAATTCCTGCTTGCTTGATTAGCGCGTGCACAACCAACCTTGTTCCCAGGGTTTTCTCTCTTGCTTCGAGAAAGAACCCTGGTAGCAGCTGGTCACATGACTCCCAAAATCTGATAGCCAAAAATAAGGGTGGGGAAGAACAGTAAGTAATTTTCGCTTTGACAAAAGTTACTCTGTTGGGGCATGAGAGGAGTTGTTTGAAAATGTCAACAACACCCGAAAAAATAGTATTACATAATGCAAGAGAGAGAACGTTAGGAACGAGGTTGGCTATTCACTTGGTATATCGTGCACCAGGCGATAAATTAACCAAAGCGGAAAATAAAATAATTTTTAAACTGCCGTCTGGATGGTGCTTTTTGTGAACCTGACTTTTGCATTATCTTTTCCTTTTCACGAACTGCACGTGCGGAGTATACAAATTTACGAAAGGCTTATTATGCACGTGCAAGCCGAGCAAGATTTTAAGTATCCTGTTGACAGGACGACGAAATCATTTTTCAAGTATAAAACCTCTAAACAAATAACCTTTTGCCTTCAAAATAGTGTTATCGTAACTAGCCGAAAGTCACGCAGTTTGCACGCAACTTAGAAACTCAAGCGACATTTTGAAGCAATAATTTTCTCCCTACTCCAGATAGTATTTCATCGTCCAGTCGTCAAAATTTTGTACCCCTGGTGCGCAATTTATTGACACACATTTCCACATATCCAGCCGCAACCAGGGTTCTTTCTCGAAGCAACAGAGAGAACCCTGGGAACGAGGTTGGCGCACAGCAAAACATCTTGACGTCACAACCATGTTTACATACTATCATGCAAACACGCCTCTCGGTCAATCAGTGCGCGCGTACTATGTTAGTTATTTAATAAAGTTCTATGGATGAGACCTAGCAAAAGGTGACCATGATGACCGTGACTGATTAATTCTTTATTTGTTTGTTTCAGTATTTATTTATTTATTTATTTTTGGCTTGGAAAACGATCTTTGAATAGCGGTGACCATTTAATTATAGCACTGCTAGGTTAATACGGGTTTGACTGTCTAAATCATTGCCTTATTAACTATACTGTTGGACTTCTTTCGGTAAAAAAAAGCGGTCCACATCGAAACTGTGTTATGGATTTCCACCTTCTTACGATTGACCATTGTACTTATGTCCAAGATTGAACTCTGCTACGAAATTTACAAAATTAACGATTTTTCGCAGATTTTACAACTTTGTGCCTTTTGTTATGTAAATAGCAACGCATTATCCTCAAAGTGGTGCTGCGGATTTTACAATTTTAATGGAAATTGCAAAAATGACAAATTTCACGTTTTTTCGCGATTTTGTCACAACTGTTCGCCTTTGTTATGGAAAAGCGACGCTGCAGGTATGCATTCTTCATAAGTGAAGTACGCCGTGTAAATTTAGATTGCAATAAGACAACATTATCGTTAAGCCAAGAAAGCCTTGCAATATCGAATACCCAAAACGATGTGTGACGCGTGGGCTGTCTATTCATCTTCTCGTTTGCCGTGTGAATTTCGAACGTGTCTACCTCCAAGAACACTCTTTCGGCAAGTCAATTTCAATTGCAACTATTGTAGCTCCAAGGACATTCGCAGGTGAAGTTTTAACTCATCTTGTAAGCTATGGTCGTTTGCATTCCTGTTATTCCTAAGGGAAAATCCCTAAAGGGAAAGTATAGGTGCAATGAGGGCAATGAATCCTGAAGTTTACGTCTTACTGTCAGCTATTTTGGTTAAGTAAGAACAACATTGACAGTCGAATTCCTTGGTGGCATTGGGCCAAGAGGAAATACTGAAGCCATATTTTGCAGTAAAACCTAGAACTCAAGAAGAAAGCAAATTAGTTGAGAAACCAACCCGCCGTTGAACTCTTGGGTCCGGGGTTGCAATTTGTTATAAACTTCCAAGCTAATTGCACTCGTGTGAATGATGCGCATTTTCCCTAGATCACAGGAACCCTTACCCTTCAAACCCAGATGCTATTTTCAGTTTGAGACAAATTGAGTCTTGAGTTAGGGAGGTTCTAGACTGGGTGGCAAAGGATGGGGGGGTACCTATCAGTCATCAAGCTGACTTGTTTTAGGCATTTCAAATCGCAGGGAAAAATTAGCCATCAGGAGCGTCTGTTTAGGACGCTATAAGTATTATTTAACAGGGAAATATCTCTCTCACCTCAGGGAATGAATTATGTCTGATAAATTGTTTTCAGCATTATTTTTGGGTTAGATCGCGCACTAACAGTTATTTGAATGACCTTAATTTAATTGTACAAAAGGGTTCTCCGAAATGCGTTATGAAAATAGTAAATCATGCACCACCATACTACACTGTAAGTAATAGATCAAGCATGAGACGCAGTGTCTCATCACCTGATGAAACACCGAGAAGAGAGTTGAAAATACGACGCGCAGCGGAGTGTTTTGGACGAATTTCGAGGTGTTTCATCTGGTGATGAAACACTGTCGAATGCTTGATATTACTTCTCAAACGAAATGATTTTAGGTGGAGAAATTACGGATGCAAAAATGAGCAGTTTTTTTTAACTGGTTTCCAAACACTCATTAAACATTAATTTCCTTTGTATTTTCTTTATGAATTATTAATGAGTTTGAGAATGTCCAATCACACCTCACATTGCTAATTTGGGCCCGCTCACGTATGACGCTGATAATTTGGGACCCATCTGTTGAGGTCACAAATGTAATAACTGGTGCTGAATGTAATAAGGGTGCCAAATGTAATAAGAGTGACAACACTGGAACAATAAGGAATGGGCCGGTCACAAGGGTCACATAGTTATGTACCAGAAATGGGTAGTTCAATAAAGATCATTAAAGGGTCAAATTTGTAGGAAGAACAGTTTCTTGAGTAGGATTGGTGTTTTAATAGTTTTTCAATACTGGCCACATTATTTAATACCATCATATTTGTAACACCAAACCACATAGAATACGGACTTTGGATTGGTTTGTTGCATGGTATAGCATGCAAATTTTTCACTTTGGGCAAACAAAAAACTATTCATTTGACCTAAAGCCCGGTGCAAACAGACGCAACATTGTTGGTAGTTGTTGTGTCCGTTTCCATGTAGCTAAAAGTTTGACGAGTCTCAAACTTTGAGCAACAACTCCCAACAACACGAACAACATGCAAGAGGGTGTGCAAAAGGACGCCACATATAACAATCCAACGATGTTGAGTCCGTTTGCACCGGGCTTAAGATATTACAGCTTCCCATGAAATGATGATTAAACAGCTAAACAATATAAGTAACTTTTCTAATTTGCAGCAGAACACGTGGTACGTAACGGATGTTAAGTCGTCCCCTACCAAAGGTTTATTTGTCCAAATTTTTCCAAACAATGTTGTAATTACCAGTAATAGTTGACACTACAGCTGCCCCCGCTCTGTATATAGTATTCTTGCTCGTTGTGAAGCTCTTTGAAATATACCGATTCATAATGAAGATATTCACACATATTCCATACACTAGGTGAGATAAATACAGGAAATAAACGCAAGGTTCCATGCACAGTTTCGGTTCGATTTACACAGCTTTGATCAAAACATTCTCACTTTCGAGAATAGTTTATTCTAAACCATAAGAAAAGATTTAATTAGAAGTTTAATTTTCGCTATTTCTATGTCACTTTTTACATTTAGTTCATTTCATTTGCCGGAATGTAAGCCTTAGAAATTAAAAGGGCGTTTGATCAATTCACGCTCGCGCATTCTAGTCTTAATTTAAACTTTATAGCGGAAGGACATCTGTGAGCAGGGAATAACTCAGCACAGAATTTGATGGTCGGCGAATTTCTGTAATCGTCCGTCGCACTGCTAGTGCTAAGCTAGCCGTTGAATCATTCACTCGTCTTGCTTGTTTTGGGCCGAGTCTTATTCCGGTCAAAGAGAGAGAAAGAGTGTCTGGCAAGGTTCAGCTGAAGGTTTCCAATCAAAGATTTGTAAACACGTGTCTGGCAGACTCACTTAGCGTTAAAATATACACTGTTCTACGCACCTTATAACCTCATCTGCGCTTAACGAGTGTCCTTTGGTCCATAACTTTCATAACAACTGCTCCACAGAATGTCACTGATAACACGTAACGCAAAAGAGTATCGAAGTATGCTGTTCCTTCGGGATTTTTTGTGTTTTACGTCATCCTAACCATTTCGTACTTGCGAGCGCAAACAACAGAAACGTCATGATTACCTACCGATTCCTCGCGGCCCCTGTTCAAGCAAATCGAGATTTTTTCTATATTGAGTGTATGACTGTATATTTCAACTGTAAGTACTGTCCTTAATATACGCGCGAGTTACTAGAGTGCCTCCTCGGGATTTCGCCTTCTGGGCCAAATCCCTGCGGGGGCAATAAACGAGGGTTGATTTCGTGGCCATACAGATAAGTGTCGACTGCTTGTTTATCTCTAGACTGGCCGGTTTCGGGCTATCACTACTCTAAGAGACTTGCACACACTCAAGTCCTGATCACATTCACATTCATTGTTTATTGCTAAATCAAGGTACTTATATACATATTGGTAGTTAAATGATACGTGGGAAAATATGGAAGGGAATGCATGTGGTTTCCTTTCTAGTAAACACCCTAATTCGATTGAAAGCTAAAAGCATTGTTACACCTACATTACTTACGTAAATCCTGAGCGGCTATGTTTGAGTAATCATGCCATCCTGCACAAAAATCCTGCACATTCAACTATTCACTTTACACGATGCACATTTTTGCACGCTTGCTTACACAATAGGGATCATACTTCCGGTTCCTATCAAGCTAGTAATTGATCTGTTGTTCACTCAAGATTAACAAGTCACGATTCATTGCACGAAGTGTCAGAAATTCCTTAACTTCACTACAATGTTGTACGAATTTTTATATTAATAAATTTGTCACCAATTCTCGATGAAACTGACCCTTGTTGCGATTGCAATTAATGAAAATATATTACTGTGTCCCTCCCTTCTTACATTAGTGCATTGTTACATTTGTGAAAGTCTGCGAAAACAGACGTAGTTCCGGTCGTCTCTTCTCTCTCTACCTGTATTCACAGGTTAACATTTGGGACCCTTATTACATTTGGCACCTAATTGTTACTACATTTGACACCGTTTTGAAACAGTAGCTCATATGTCATTGGTGTGAGCGTATGTATCTTTATGGCTTTGTGGCTTTGTCTGTTCGGATGTGTGATGCAGGAGCCAATAAGGATGAAGGTACTGTGAGTTGATGCTTAGGAACCAATGAGATTTTGGCATCTAAACATCACATTGAGGTCAAACAAGGGCACTTTGAGACCGCCGTCTTGATTCTTCATATAGCTAGCATTTTTGCAAATTTTTGAAAATGTTCAGTCATGTGTTTTCTCGGGGCCTCCTGCAAATTCATGTCTTTGTCATCAATAATGGCCCTCAAATTTTTGGCTGTTTCGTCGAGGGCCTTCCTGGACCTCATTTGCATTTCCTCATCACCACTTTTCGCCAATGGCCCGGCAAAGTTTCTAAATTTTTGTTATTTTCGCCATTTTTTGTCAGTACTTTTCGTAATTTTTCCTGCTTTGTCGAGGGCCCTCATTGACCTCATTTGCCTTTTCGTCAAAGGCCTTGCAAAATTTCGAAATTTTCGTTATTTTCGCTGTTTCGTGGAGGGCCCTCTTTGACCTCATTTGCATTTCCTAGTCACTTTTCGTCAATAGCCCTACAAAAATTCGAGATTTTTGTTATTTTCTTTATTTTTGTAGTTTTCGTAGTTTTTGCTGTTTCGTCGAGGGCCTTCCTGGACCTCATTTGCATTTCCTCGTCACTTTTCCTCAATGGCCCGGCAAAATTTTGAGATTTTTGTTACTTTCGCAATTTTCGTAGTACTCTTGCAAAATTTTGCAATTTTCGTAAATTTCGTCACAGAGTTCAATCCTGGACATCTCGACCATTGAGTTGAACTGATGCTTATGGTGATGGTTTTTTTAATGATAGGCACACTTTATAGATGGTCTTTAATATTCTATGGAACAGCAATGAATCCCCTTTCGAACAACCCACACGTTCCGCCAACCGCTACAGATATTACATTTGCAACAATTAAAACAGCCACAGGCGGTCAACGAACAAGTTCAACCACTTCAACAGAAGAACCAACAATGGGTAGGTAAAGTTGTTTTACAATACTGATTACTCGCGAAGGATTGCCAGAAACTGAACAAGGGGCATTGAGTATATAGCTGGTCAGTTAATTTATTTGACAGCGCACGAGGATACCATTTCAATAAGGCCTGTCGTTGCCGTCTAGTCAGCAAAGGCTCTTGTTATAGCTGTGAATCAGTCGTTATATGACAGCACAATTCTGCTGTTTTTGTATGGATTTTTGTCAGGTAACTATTTAACAAGGAAAACGTCGAGCCAACCAAATTGAAATGTGAACTGCATGGTACATGAGACATGTGCTCTTGAACAAGAAAGGAAAGAGTATTTTAAGTACCTATTCAAAGTAATTATGTCGAATTCAAAACACATTTATGTTTCTTCAGTTTTTGACAATCGTTACAGGCAGTGAAAAGCAGCGAAATACAAGTATTAATCTACTCGCGGCCCGTTCCACGGTAATTAATGTTTGATATTCATACAGAAATCTTGTTTAAGGTGTTGTAGAAGGGTATAATTTCCAAAGTTTTCCTGTTATAATTCGGTTTGCGGGCGTTTGCATTTCTTCTTGAGATACGGTCTTCATCTATGGAACAGTGTTGCTGCCTGAGATCTTTCTGTAAAATTTAATGATTAGAACAAATCTTAAAATGTAAATACTGAATTGCCAAATCTTGGTAAAGTTCGCTCTTTATTTTTGTTCAAACTTGAAACGGTTAGAACTTGTAACATTATTTGTTTCACGCTACACGCAGTTTCCTTAGAAATTAAATTAACTGACCAGCTATGTAGTAAGACGACTACTTGCTTGTCTTTTAGCCTACATCTACACGAACCCAGATGTATTCGAAACCGCATACTTTTTCACACGAATCGGCTTTCCGTCCACACGAAACCAGTGACTGATCCGCTCACCGAAACCGCATTGTTTTGAAACCGCCCTCCAAAGCGGTTTAAGGCCCCGTCCACAAGAATGCGAATAAAAATATGCGGTTTTAAAAATGCCCGGATTCGTGTGGAGATGGTCTTATTTAGAAATAATTGGATTCATTAAATTTCTGATAGCCAAATTTAACTCGTCCAGTTAATTTCTAATTGGATATTGTGTAGTCTTTTCGAGTAAACTAGTCGGCGGCGGGGAAGGATGATAAAAGTATTTTATGTTTGCGTTACTGATTTTACGTGCAGTCCGTATTAGGGAAACACTGGTTGAGGCATTCCTTTTACTAAGAGTATAGACCTTGTTCACGTTTCGTTTGTTGACTTGATAACGATTAAAGTGAGACCAATAATCTCCCAGTAATGGTTAAACTGCTGTCCCGTTTGTTTACTCCTAAAAAATACAACTGAAATTATATTAAGTAACGAAGTGAGAAATATTTGAGGACCCACCCACCTTTCCCAGTCAGCAGTGTCCCCACTTTCATCCTCTCGCGGTGCCATGCCTATCAGTGGTGCCAATTTTTAGATCAATGGTGTTATCCGTCCACAGCGTTAAAGTAGTGGTAGCGTTAAAGAGTGGGTCGTATCGCATAAGTGGGATTCTACATTCGTACCTGGTCTTTTCTCATATATTTCCCATTTCGTTTTTTTTTTTTTTTTAATATAATTTCAATTAAGGAACAGGCCGCTTCGAGGCTTTAACATAATTGAGATCAATATTAAACCAGTTGTCTCCCAATGTTAGTTAAACTGCCGTCTCGTTTATTTACTCCTTTCGGGACAAGGACGAGTACTACAGCCGCACAGCCGTCCTTCCTAAAGGATAGGCAGTGTTGGTTTCCGATTTTTTTTCTTTCTTTTCTATTTTATTGTTTTTTTTTTTAAGACGGCTACGATCTTCTAAGTAAATAAACGAACTGGCTCAAAGTTTTATAGCATGTCCAGCTCTGGTAATAATTGGGTTTAGTATATACTAAAATAGTAGATAGTGTTTTTCGCGTTACTTTATTTAGCTGGCACGTTCATAAATAAGCTTAAAACTAAACTTAATGGTTTTTTTTACAAAATGGTTTTAAGAAATTTCCCCACAATAACTAAACAAATGCCTTCAAAAGTTCTATTTGTCGGCAAGAAAACGCGACGGTCGTTGGATCATTTGCGCCCCAAAAGTGTAATCGTTGTCAGCATTAAAAATGAGTTTAGAACCATCATTTTTGTGCTCAATTATCTCACCGTTTTAGTATATACTAAAACAATTATTCACCTTAGTGTCGGTGGCTAGTGGTGTAGAATTTACCTGGCCGCCTCACGGTTCGGTAAATATATCCACCACTAGCAACCCCCACTTCAGTGAATAATTGTTATATATCACCATCCACATAAAGTAAATTTTGATCGAGAGTTTCTTTAGTTTATGGAATCCCACTTACGATTGGTTCAATGTTTCGCCAATGCCGACTGAACAAAGTAATCAATTTAGCAATGTTTCCCCAGCCAAGGAAATTCCGTGCTACAGTAGCCAATCAAACCGCGCGAAAACTCTTATCCACTGACTATTTAACCCATTCGCTCCTGGAGATTTTGCCGAAAAACGCGTTTTGAAGGTAGTCGAGTGGTTTTCTGGTCGCTGTCGTGCTATAAAGAGCTAAAACTTACCACAAACCGGTTTACAGGTCGTACACTTCGCGGTCTTCTGATCCAGATGCAAAATAACAGCTTGCGAAGTTCGGGCATGCGCAGAAAGCAAAATTTCGCTTTCTCTCCTCCCTTCTTTTTTCGCTTTTCTTGCCTCATTTTTTTTTCTCTTGCTGGGCATTTAGTAGGCTTCATTTTGGTGGGAAGAGTTTTTAGGAAAGCTTTTAGGATCTTAGGATTAGGTCAAAGCAAAGGTAGGTGAGTAATGGAACAAGATTTTCATGGAGATTTTCAGGTCACTGTCAGGTGGTTTTTTGCTTCTTTCTCCGGTGTCCTTGATAGAATTGTGCTCATTCTGGTATGGTTTGAAAGATCTCTTCACTCTACACAAGTTACCGAAGAAAGTTGTCCTTGAACGTTAACACTGATGACGTCACAAAGGGTAGAAAGGACCTGGATCTGCACGGGCGGTTACGGGCGGTTCAGGGGCGAATGGGTTAAAGAATTATGCACATCTCGGAAAGTGTTGGCCGCCTCAGCCGATAACAGCGTCGTCGATCTTGCGTAATTCTCCGTATCACCCTCAGTGTTATACAATAATTTCTGACTGACAGTTTTTTTAAGAAGTAAGGGGGGTGAGGGGCTTCTATTAAATATATGGGCTGTCTGTTATTGTTGCTGTTGAACTTCTCGTGTTAGTACAATACATCTATGTACCAATCCAGAAGATTAAGGCAGCCTAGTAAACCATCGACCCTGTACTCGGCCAATGTTTGCCCAAGGTGGACTGAACAAGATAGTTAATTTACAATGTTCCCCCAAGCGTCCTGAATTTACTGTATTTTATTTTCTTTCTTTAGCTGTTTGGACAAAATTTCTCATCGGCATGGGTGGATATATCTTCTGGTTCAACATACCTTGGGCTTTGGGTCTTTGGTTCTATCTGAAAAGCGTAGGAGACAAACAAGGTGGGTATTGTGATAATACCAGGTCTTCTAGCTAAGGTTGGTTTGCAAAATCAGAGGCTACTTATGATGGCGTGTTGGTTTAAAGTGTTGTCTATAGATTGATTGAAAGATATCTCAACTCATATTCTGCAGAGCTACCACGAGGCTCTCTCGAGAGGGAATGTAGCGTGGCGTTGCGTTTCAACGAAAGCCGAATTCAATAATTGCTTTATTATTCATTCAAAATAATTCCAAGTTTAAAAACACGCTTAAACATGCTTACCTCGGTCGATGATAAGTTCATATCAATAGTGCATCTCAATTATCGGAAAGTTTAGGGCTGTTCAGGTCGGCCAATATACTCGAAATAGCAGATGTCGCCCTCGAGTTGTCTTCTTGCTGCTCTTGCCATGAAATGAGTACAAAGTTCCGCCATTACTCACTTCGAAAACAACTCAAACTCGTCCTCAGGTCTTCTCGGTTAAGAGTTCAGTAATCTGCAACTTTGCTGCAGTATTGATCTCATCGTTCAATATGGCAAAATTCTTCCCAATTTGGTCAACAGTGGCTGGTTATGATGAATTATGCGTGTGATTTTAGCCAATAAGAAACGGGGAAATAATTGGAATGAATAATAATTGGATTAAATTTCTGACAGCCAAATTTAACTCATCCAATATATTTCTAATTGGATATTGTGAAGTTTTTTTGAGCTATTTCGAAAAAATACCTCATATGTCAGTGGTCTGAGCGTATGTATCTCTGCGGCTTTGTGGCTTTGTGTGTTCGGATGTCTGATGCAGGGGCCAATAATGTTGACCTTTAGCCGTCATAAAAGACGCCAGATCCCTCGGGATCTGACATTAAGTGTATCCATGGCGAACAATTTCGTACAGTCAGCGGTTCGATGCGTAAGCTCACACTATCATTAATAAATCTAATAAAAACATTAGAAATTACCACAAAGCAACTATAAAGTATTATTTTACACTTACTCAAACAAAACAAATTCGAAAGAAGACAGAAACCCAAGTTTTCTTGTTATTACATTTTTGCACAATCAACAGCCGTAATGTCACATCACTTTGTCACGCGAATTCACACAGTGCGAAGAAATACTGTTCCAAGCTTCTTGTCAAGCCGTACAGCGGACTTTCAAGTGAAATTCAAACTGCTTATGTAAGAGTAACATAAACGGAAGCACTTTCAACATGGCGGCCGATGTTTACTTCGGGAAAAAGATTTATAAACCTTTCATTTTGTCGGTATCTCCACACGTCACAAGAAGACTTCTTTCAACCCATTTTTCTCGTATTTTACATTAGTTGGGAACAGCGAAGAAAGGCTTACGGACGTCATTTATAGGCTTAAAACGACCTTTCTTACCTGCTCAATCGAACTGGATTTGTGGACTTCAAATAGAAGCAACTTGTGTTTTGATTTTGCCGTTCCGCGGGAGCACCTCGGCCCAGTTTTGAAAAGACGTATGGCGGATTTCCTCGTATAGAACAAATTTTACACCACGTTAGGAATCTTCTGTTCACTGTGTATTTGGAAACTACACTGCTCAAAGGCAAAGGTATACATGCATTTTAAGAACTGGATTTGTGGACCCGAGATTAAACTTGCTCTTGAGGAGCTAGAGGTCAATTTTTAACACGGTAAGGCAAATTCTCATACATTTCTCTGTAATTTTATTCACAGCGTTTTGAAAGCTAAGTCCAAAAAGTAGCGCGTTTCGCATGCACGGCCGCCATGATGTACGAAATTGTTCGCCATGCATGGTTTTAACAGTGACGTCATCAAATTGTAAAGTCAAAATAGCGAGGTTTTACGAATTCTTATTTACACTAGGTTGAAGATAAACAAAAAGTCAATCTTTGTACAAGTTTCCATTCCCGTAGCATGTTTCATTTCGAAAATACAGCAATTTGAACTTCCGAGTTTTCATAGGTCGTGACACCAAAATAGGAATGCTGTCTCGTTGAAAAAAAATCAGTCTCCTCTTGATTTTCAGCAGTATAACCATTTCAAGTATTAGAAGATATGTTTATGCGCACGTATGCTAGTTCTCGAGTGAAAAGAAAGAACTTTTATGGAACAAATGAACTCCAGATATTTTGTTGATTTCCGGCGGCCATATTGGCGTCTCCATACAAAGCTCTTCAAAGGTGCGTGCAACGTTTCGGCAAATAACTCAGAAACTGTGGGCCACAAATACCTGAAACTTGAACAAATTGTTTAAAAATTAGTCTTTTATGACATTTCATTTTCTTGGCTTTTTCCACTGGACGGTTTCCAATTTATTCTTTTGCTGCGTGACAGTGAAAACGATCTATACTAGCCACCTCCTCTTCAGTGAATAATGGTTAAATATCACCAAACAAATGAAGTAGATTTTGGTCGAGAGTTTCTTTAATTTATGGAATCCTACTTACGATTGGTTCAATGTTTCGCCAATGCCGACTGAACAAAGTAGTCAATTTAGCAATGTTTCTCCAGCCAGGGAGCTACAGTAGCCAATCAAACCGCGCGAAAACTCTTATCCACCAACTATTTGAAGAATCATGCACATCTCGGAAAGTGTTAGCCGCCTCAGCCAATAACAGCTTCGTCGATCTTGCGTAATTCTCCATATCATCCTCAGTCTGATACAATAATTTCTGACTGAGAGCTTTTATTAGGGGTGGTAGGCGGGGCGGGGGGGGAGCTTGTATTAAATATATGGGCTGTCTGTTATTGTTGCTTTTGAACTTCTCGTGTTAGTACTATAACATGTATGTACCAATACAGAAGTTTAAGGCGGCCTAGTAAACCATCGGCCCTGTACTCGGCCAATGTTTGCCCAAGGCGGACTGAACAAAATAGTTGATTTACAATGTTTCCCCCAGCGTCCTGATTTTACTCTTTTTTATTTTCTTTCTTTAGATGATCTGGAGAAATTCCTCATCGTCGTTGGTGCTGTTATACCTTGGTTTTTGGTTCTTTGGTTCTTTCTGTGGAGCGTAAAAGACAACGGAGGAAACAGTGTTTACGGTCGCTATTGTGATAATACCATACGTCAGTATGGCGTAACAACCAGTGAAAACTCTGATGAAAAATATCCGCGCACTCTGATTTAAGCCCTAATCCAGAACTCTCAACTCCCACAGAATCACGCCATACCACGTGTCTTCTGGGGGGCAAGAGTCCAAGTGGCAAGTTGATGTCTCGCAAAGAAACTACTGACGAGCCCTAAAAAGGGCGAAACAGCTGTCTATGGCTACAGTCCCGTTCTGTTTTGAGTTCTTTCGGTGTCGTGTTGATGTCTTACAAAGTTAATTTTCATGTAGTACGATCAACATTGCAGTATTCTGCTTGTAGAATTTAATATGTCTACTTGTTATTTTTGCTGATCAGGTCTTTATAGATCCTACGTTCGGCATATTCGTTTGCGTCCTTTGCAGTCCTTTGTGTTTAATGTTTGTAGTTAATGTATTTTGGGGTCCTAGATCTTTTATAGATCCAATATGCTGTAATTTTTGCACGGTTCTGTCCATGTTTTTGAGGTTGGCCGTTTTGGCCAATCCATTATTTTCTTTGCGAGACATCAACTTGACACTTGGACTCTTGCCCCCCTAAATACACGTGGTATGGCGTGATTCTGTGGGTGTTGAGAGTTCTAGATTAGGGCTTAAATCAGACTGCGCGGATATTTTTCATCAGAGTTTTCTCTGGTTGTTGCGCCATACTGACGAGCCCCAAAAAGGGCGAAACAGCTGTCTATGGCTACAATCCCGCTCTGTTTTGAGTTCTTTCGGTGTCATGTTGATGTCTTGTAAAGTTAATTTTCACGTAGTACGATCACCATTGCAGTATTCTGCTTGCAGAATTTAATATGTCTTCTTAATTTACAATGTTTCCCCCAGCGTCCTCATTTGACTGTTTTTTATTTTCTTTCTTTAGTTGATCTGAAGAAATTCTTCATCGTTCTTATTGGTACTGTTATACCTTGGGTTTTGGTTGTTTGGTTCTATCTGAAAAGCGTAGAAGTCAAACAAGATCATTGTGATAAAACCAGGCCTTCTAACCAAGGTTTGTTTGCAAAATCAAAGGCTACTTATGATGACGTGTTGGTTTAAAGTGTTGTCTATACATTGATTGAAGGATACCTCAACTCACATTCTGCTGAGCTACTACGAGGCTCCCTCGAGAGGGAATGTAGCGTTGCGTTGCGTTGCGTTGCGTTGCGTTGCGTTACAGATACAGGGTGAGCCGGAACTGGACTAGCTTCTTTAGTGGCAGCGTCTCTTAATATAAAAATATAATATTTGCTAGACTCTTTGCTATGTACGAAAAAAATGATATAAGAAAGGGATGGGCCTGATTCCTGAAAGGTTAATTAGCGCCAATCAAAGTAAAAAAAATGAAATTGTATTTACCTTTCCACAGTCCAATTTTGTGTGGTTGTAACGTAGGTCTCAGGGTTAAAGCTTAACAACACTTTCTAAGCTCCAGCCACATGTTCTTGACGAGAAAACGTTGATCAAAATTTGGTATAACCCTGGGTAAACCCCTTTACTCTGGGTTAAGTCACCAGGAACTGGGCTCAGGTTTAGAATTTCGAAAAAACTGATATTAGACTGTTAAATGTTTTCTGACCTGTTGGTTGCAGTGTTGTTGGTCGTCAGCCGTTTAAACCGTGATATTAAAGGCTATTTGCATCAACAGGTCATTTGACCTCTTGCTTATGAACGCAATCGTTAGAAAGACAGAGAAAGACAGTCAGAAAATTACCGGAAGGACAAGAAAGCAAATTGTAGATATATCTATGTAAGAAAGAGAAAGCCGACGAAAAGGTTTTCGATGTGTAAAGTTCCATTTTGATAGATCGAATCACTAATCTTAATTCTGCAGATCGAGGAGGGTATGTATGGATAACACCTTCCGAGATTTGCAGAATTCTTCATATCCTACGAAAGCCGAACTCAATAATTGCTTTATTATTCATTCAAAATAATTCCAAGTTTAAAAACAAGCGAAAACATGCTTACCTCGGTCGATGTTAAGTTCTAAGGGAAGTTTAGGGCTGTTCAGGTAGGCAAATATACCCCAAACAGCAGATGTCGTCCGTCGAGTTGTCTTCTTGCTGTTCTTGCCATGTTTTTAGACGAAAGCTGGGCGTGAAACGAATACAAAGTTCCGCCATTACTCACTTCTGAAACAACTCAAAGGCGTCCCCAGGTCTTCTGGGTTAATGGTTCAATAATCTCCAACTTTGCTGCTGTTTTAACGTCATCGATGAGAGAACAAGTGTTCAAAAGTAAAGACTAACCAAGGAGTAGATGGCCGTTTTTTTTTTTGTTTTTTTTTTTACAAACCATGGGAGAAATGTTCATCGAAAAAGCTGTAAGTATATTCGAATAATTCAACGAGACAGAAAGGTAAAAAAACTTCAACTCCACAAGTTTCGAGCGCAACGGTATGCAGATATATGACCAACAAAGGTTGGAAAGCCTTGAAGAGAAAAAGGCGGTGCACACTTCGTGCAGACATGGTGTCAGAAGGATTTGCAAACTTTATACTAAAAGACGACCGTTCGGCAAACTCACGTGATGTGAATCCCCAAGAGACCATCTAGATCGTATTTTATTTATATTGGCGATACAACGTACAAAGATTCAGCCCCGAAAACACTGGACGAGCTAAGACAGTGATTACCCTTCGCCTGGAAAAATTTGCCATGAGACACGTCTTAAGGGCTCCTACATTCTATACCTCATTGCTTAGAAAATGTCAGAAAACATAAAGGAAGCCATTCTGTTAACTAATATTTCAGTTATTCAATGTTAAATGAATAATAAATAATTAGTTAGTTTAACAAAAGGTATTTTAAATAATCAGGGAAATTTAAGCAAAGAAGAAATCGGAACGAACTTTTGAAACACCCTGTATGTACCAATCCAGAAGTACAAGGCAGCCCAGTAAACCATCGGCCCTGTACTAGGCCAATGTTTGCCCAAGGCGGACTGAACAAGATAGTTAATTTACAATGTTTCCCCAAGCGTCCTGATTTTACTATATTTTATTGTCTTTCTTTAGCTCCTTGGAAGAAACGCTGCACCTGCATCTGTTTGTTAGTTATACCGTGGGTTTTGGTTCCAAGATTCTGTCGGAAGAGAATAAGGTGTAACGAGGAAACACAGGTCCACGCATCAGAAGAAGCAGTGGAGTGATAGGTTGAATTGTTGTTTATACATTGATTGAAAGATACCTCAACTTGCATTCTGCTGAGCTACCACGAAGCTCTCTCGAGAGGGAATGTAGCGTTGCGTTACAGATAGAGGGTGAGCCGGAACTGGACTAGCTTCTTTAATGACAGTGTCTCTTAATATAAAAATGTATTTGCCAGACTATATACTAATGTACGAGAAAAATGATGTAAGAAAAGGATGGGCCCGTTTCCAGAAAGGCTAATTATAGCGCTAATCTGGGTAAAAAATTGAAATAATTGTATTTGGCTGGGCCCAGGAGTAGTATAAGAGGGACGTTTTAGGCCTCTTTTTTGGGCAGGAATTTCATTAACTTGGGCAGGAACACATTAACGCCAATGACGTCATAACCTTTTGTCTTGATCTCATGAGTAAAATGCGCGGGAATCTCATAAAGATAAGGTCATGTTCTATTTTTAGTTGGTTTAGGTTTTCTAGTTACTCTAAGGTCGATAAACGTCTTCGTTTTCGATTGGTTAGTTACAAAATAAGAAACGTTTTCACTGAGACGTAACGTAATTATGTGAGTCCTATTTCCTGCTGCTGTGATTGTCCTAGTTCCGGTTGACTTAGTTTTGGCGTGCAAATCGTGCATATTAATGAGGGCAAAGGCAAACTAGCTCTTTTCAGCGCAAAAGACAATGCTTTATCTACCCATCTGCCTTTTCATTTTTATTGTTTTCTGTCCTCTTCCTCCTCATTTTTATTATTTTCCCTCATCAATGTTTTTGTGCCCTCCCCCTCCACCTCCTCCTCATTTTTATTGTTTTCCCTCCTTCTCATTTTTATTTTTTTTCCTCCTCAATTTTTTCTCCTCCTTCCCTCCTTCCCTCCTCCTCCTCCTCCACCTCCTCCTCATTTTTATTGTTTTTCCTCCTCCTTCTCCTCATTTCTATTGTTTTCCCTCGAAAAGGCCAAAGAGGCTAAAATCACGTGTAAAAGGCCAAACTCGAATGTGATGGCCTGGTTTTAGCCTCTTTGGCCTTTACGAGGGAAAACAATAGAAATGAGGAGGAGGAGGAGGGAAAACAATAAAAATGAGGAGGAGGAGGAAAAATAATATAAATGAGGAGGAGGTGGAGGAGGAGGAGGGAATAAAAACATTGAGGAGGGAAAACAATAAAAATGAGGAGGAGGACGGAATAAAAACATTGAGGAGGGAAAACAATAAAAATGAAAAGGGAGATGGGTAGATAAAGCATTGTCTTTCGTGCTAAAAAGAGCTAGTTTGCCTTTGCCCTCATTAATATGCACGATTTGCCCGCCAAAGTTCAGTGAACCGGAACTAGGATAATCACAGCAGCAGGAAATACGACTTGCATAATTACGTAATTAAGTCTCAGTGATTTTAAGTCACAGACAAGTTTTGACTTTACTCCTCGGACACTATGAATTAACCAACGAAAACGAAGACGTTTAGCGACCTTAATGTAACTAGAAAATTTAAACCAACTAAAAATAGCACATGACCTTATCTTTATGAGATTCCTGCGCATTTTATTCATGAGATCAAGACAAAAGGTTATGGCGTCATTGGCGTTAATGTATTCCTGGCCAAGTTAATAGAGTGTTTTCACTCACGTGGCCAGCATCTATGCAAATTTATTGGAACAAAAGAAAGCGTTTGCATAAGAAAAGAGTTCAACTCCCAGAGGATTGGTTTGGGACACCAACATGGCCGCCGTTTCATTGTTTTGGGACACCAATATGGCCGCCGGGACGTCATGTGAAAACACTCTATAGAATTCCTGCCCAAAAAAGAGGCCTAAAACATCCCTCCTATACTTCGCCCAGGTTTGGGAGAGAGAGAGTTACTGGGCGTAAGTGAGTTTTGCATCTTCAATAGAAAATTATTTAACTCAATTATTTTTTGACTGGTCATTCAAAGGTGCAGTTTTGTTGGTCGTCAGTCGGTTAAGCAGGGATATTATAGGCTATTTGCATAATCAGGTCATTTGACCTCTTTTATATGAACACAATTGCTGGAAAGACAGAGGAAGACAGTCAGAAAACTACTGTGAGGACAAAAACGAAAATTGTGTATACATCTATGTAAGAAAGAGAAAGCCGACCAAAAGGTTTTAGATGTGTTAAGAGCGACTGTCTGTAAATATCGACCAAAATCGTCTTTTTGTGGCACAAGTTCAAAATTCGAATTTCGCTCATTTTTGGCTCATCGATAACCCTTAATGAGTAATGAAACATGCTGTAGTTAGTTTTCCCAAATAACGTATTCTTTTGTTAAAATTCGAGAAAACTCATTTTGCCCGTTCGGAGCTCAAAATCCACTTCCGGTAAAACGAAATTTTACACAAATTTCATTGAGTCGTACGTCAAACTACAAAGATTTGGCAGCCTTTGAAGAACACGAATAGTTTTTATAACCCTTTCTTTCTCATAAGACGATAAATTTGTGAAAGCTGTAATAAGTTTGTGGCCAAAAGGTATTGTTAAAAATTGGCCCTATTGACAATTTCACCGGTTCAAAACTATAGGGTTAAAATAATGTAAATTTTTACAATGCGCTATAACTTAGAATTTCGCAAATTGACTTTCTACGGTTTAACTAGGCCCCAATATATCAGAAAATCGAAACAAATCTCTGGGCAAACGATTTTAAGTAGCCCGCAAGACGCCCAGTTCAACCCTAATTTTGCGAAAATTCGCGACATTCCAGTGGTTAAAAATAGCGTGACACGGCGCGTCACGCCAGCTCTGTTAACGACAGATTCACTTTCAACATTCTATTTAACACTGATCACATGCCGAATTCCAGCATAAAATCTATATTACATCTTTCAATAACCTTATCTTATTTAGAAGAGTCATTTTGTTTGGATACAATATATAGTGTAGAATTGCCCAAAAGTCGGCTCTTTTGAGCGACGTCGGCAAGACGTCGACGACCCAGCCCAACGAAAACAAACTTTGAACAAGTGCAGTGGTGTGTTTCATTAATTTAAGCATCCGTCAAAAGGCATAAATACGTTAAATTTAAGACAGGGATAACCAATATTAACTAATCCGAACAATGTTCTTGGGAGTTTTCTCTTTCAAGTAATTATGTATAAGTATAAATGTACGTTTGGATGTATTACTATCACGCTTATAAAGGTACATTGTAACGAACGTTTCAGAAAACGTTTTAACTCGTTTAGATCGACGATGAAACGCCATCATCAAAAACAAATCACCAAAAACTTTCCTCTACAGCAAAACGGAAAGTAGAGAAAAAAGTAGCGTTTTGCTAATGCTAAAGCAGGAATAGTTGCAGCGTGATCATGATCATGAGCTTTTAAAAATGGCAAATGCTCCTAAGTGGACATCTATAGATCCCTTGGAAAAAAACTCTCTGGCCCACTATGAACTAGCCTATTCCAGGCGTAGTGGACAGTGGATAGTGGATAGAGGACAGTGGCGCGAAATGGGGAACGGAGGAAAACAAACGTGGAAAAGAGTAAGAGGGAGAGAGTAGGAGGACCTTTCGCCCTTAATCCCTAACCCCGCCCCTTCGCCATTTTTTCTAGCCCACTTTTCTTTGCGTTTTCCCAACTATCTGAAGGCCTGTTACAGGTTACCTACGTCCTTCATTTACAAATTTTTATGGTATATAACTTATTTATTCGATTAATCGCCCTGGGCGCTTATTAAATTTTGGACCTTGAGAGTGGGCGCTTATTCGAGGTGGGTGCTTATTCGAGGCTGGACGCTTATTAAATTTCGCCATTCTCAGCAAGTGTAGTATGTTTATTTTGCAACAAAACAATAAATGGTAATAACAAAAAGCGGACATGTAACAAAGCAAGGTTTCTGTAAAATGCTCTGAAGAAAACTCCGTCTTCGGGAGGATCTCTTATTATCTCTCATCTAAGTTCGTGTAGGAGGGAGTGGGGTGGTGGTGGGCGCTTATTAACTGTTCTGCCTTTAGGAAGGGCACTTATTCGAGGTGGGCGCTAATTTGAGGTTGGGCGCTTATTCCAATAAAAATAAATACGGTATTCAACTTGAGCGTCGAGCATGCACTTTTGGCGCTTTGTTATTGATCAGCAGGAACGGATTTGGTAAGACTAACTTTTCAACTGCTTTTAGACTGCGAATTTTTTTTTCTTTCTTTCTTGTTTTCTTCCTTTTATTTTTTCTTTGTCAGTTTCTACCGTATTTTTTAGACGTATTTTTCGATCCTCTCCCCAGTCTCACTTCAAAATTGCTTCAAGGAAATTAGTTTTTATAAACCAAATGGCATTGATTGGCGATGATTTAATTCGTAAATATCTCTCAATGCAAAAATTCATTCAGTAATCAGTTTTAGTTTTTAGATTTTGTTCTGTTTATATACCATTTTTGAGGGAAATCGCCAGTCTGAAACTGAACATGAAAGTGTGTGACGCTATCCCAGGGACCCTATATGTTGTATCTGAAGAAAATGCTGCAATCAATGAGAATCATAGGTTTACTGAACGATTTAATTTCGAATTGGCTTTTAATCTGCCTTTAACTAAATTGTGTAAAGCACATCTATAGGCAACACTCGCGTGACGGGCCGTGTCACGCTATTTTTAACCACTGCAATGTCGCGTTTTTTTTGCAAAATTAGGGTTGAACTCAACGTCTTGCGGGCTACTTAAAATCGTTTGCCCAGAGATTTATTTCGATTTTCTGATAGATTGGGGCCTATTTAAGCAGTAGAAAGTCAATTTTCGGAATTTTAAGTTATAGTGCATTGTAAAAATTTGCATTTTTGTATCCCTATAATTTTGAACGGTAGAAATGGTCAATAGGGCCTATTTTTAACAAACCTTTTTGGCCACAAAATTATTACAGCTTTCACAAATTTATCGACTTATAAGAAAGAAAGGGTCATAAAAACTATTCGTGTTTTTCAAAGGCTGCCAAATCCTTGTGGTTTGACGTACGAGTCAATGGAATTTGTGTAAAATTTCGCTTTACCGGAAGTGGATTTTGAG